CTGATTGTATAGAGATATCTAAATGATAAAGAGAGTATTGATCAGGAATCAAGTAATATTTCAAAAGTATGTACTTAAAAATAATCCCTAAAGTTCACACAATATGTACAAGTGTGGATATCTAATTAGTTAACAAACAGTACTAATAATGTTCATGTGATTTCCTATCATCTGAAAGCGTTGTTTCAATGAATTATTAAGATAAATTTTGTAAAAATATCTGATTTAAAAAACTAAATCGACTCTTTAAAAAAATCCATCCCTTTCAGTAGACGTGTTTTATAATATTTATTTAAATATTCTGGAGTTGTTACTTAATAATTTTTTAGTGACCTTTTCGAAATCAACACTTAAGCATAATTTTACCAGAACTTGTAAAAATCGCTGATTTTAAAACTAACAAAATTGGAGCATTTTAGTGATAGAGTGGTTTATTAATCTGCGATGCAACCACTTCAGTCTTTCTGTCTGATAGGACAACAGACTTGTGTCACTTAATTTTAATAAAATTTTGTAAGATATTTACTACATCAGCGAGAACTCAGTGTTGTCCTAACCTAACAGTAGATTGTTTTTAAGAAATTATCAACTCATATGTATATATATATATACTTAGCGCATAACACCGAAACTGTAAATTATCGAATTAAAAATGAATCAGTCATGTGCTTCTTTAGTTGACGGTCGCTAAGTTAAAAAAATAGTCATTTCTTAGTGGCAATCTCTAAAAGTAAGTTGCATTTTAGACTCGGCGATTTCATTTTAATAATACTTTCGTTTTAATTCAGTATGATGATTACTCAGAGTAATAGTTGTCTTACTTTCAGTGTTATATTTTATTCGGCAAAATAGTTATTTCACTATAGTATTTATGGTATAATATGATATACTTTATATTGAATTAACCATGAACGATAACCAGCATGATTTAAAGTATGCTATTCGTTATAATTTCATTGAGTGTATTTTCAACAAGGTTTGTTGTCATGTTTTGTATAACAAAAAATCTCCATCTGTACCAGTCCGTGTTTTCTTACTTCTCATTGAAGGAATCATAGTGGCTTCTCGTTTTCAAGGTGACTCAGATTAAACAGTGACAATCGACTCAACATAATAATTATCACCTAAGTAAGTAACAAGGCCAATAAAATTTTCTACCATCTAATAACATCTTGTATTTCATAAGGCTGGCGAAGAATAAAATCAAGGATTTTATAGTTAAACAGTAGCTAATTATAATTCTTAAATTATTATCTAACTATAGTTTAAAGTGGAAATAAGTCCATTCATTCGAATAATATACTTGTAAATGATCTTTCCAAGAAATGTAATACATGCATAATACTGTAATAGAATAAACTGTCAATTCATTGTGTTTAACAATCGAAATTATGTATACATTAGTCGCATAGATGATACAGTTTATCATCAATCATTCATCAAGAAACATAATGGAAAGATAAAAAATCATAGATAAGTGTATTTCAGTAATAAGATTGAATTTGATTACAAAACGAAATTTAAGTAAGAATAATGAATGGAAGACATAGCGTGGAAGCAATTAGAACAATTTATGATAATTTATTTTTTTCCATATATATATATATATTTATTTATTCCAGTCATTAAGGAAAATACTTGTTATTTGCAAGTAAATACTAGATTATTATATGATAAATAAGTTTAGATAGGCAGTTTGAAGAAATTGCAGTATAATTTAAGCGTAATATAGCTCATAGCTATCGATGAGAGTATGGCGAAAAGCATAAAAATCAATTTCTACGTGCGACATACCAACGTAAACCGTTTCATTGAACATTAGCAAATCATTTGCGAATGAATTATATTCTATACTTTACATTTTCAAAAAGGATTATTCTATACAAGTATCTGTGACATTTTAGCAGTAGTACTAGAAAACATTTACCCTCATTCTAGTCAGTTTTACTTTTATATAGAGATAAGAATTCGTGAACTTCTTTTTTATCAATTATTCGTTTCTGCTGCAAAATATATTTCATACAAAGACTGTAGTGGTATGTTTAATTTGATAGTTAAACAGTTAGTCATATGCACATAAATGTTTTGGAGTTTTAGTTTGAATAAATTAAGCCAGTCTAATGTAAGCCGATTAAAAACACAATTATTTAAAGAAGAAACTTGAATAGAAAACATTTTATTTTAATTTTATCTCTTTCTGATGGTACGATTTACCAGTCATCGTATCTTTTACAATTTAAATGTTGCACTTACAAATACGGTGACTTCTGCTCTGATTATTGCTACTTCGATCACCCATTCAAATGTTTTTTAAAACGACTTGAACATTGAAGTTGATAAACCGTAAAATACTCCTACATTATTGTAAGTTAAATAGTAAATTTGATACAGTACATCTTGCATTGGAAACATAAGTGATCTAGTAGTGATTCCTTCGACATAATATTTTGCAAACTGCTGTATTTACATAACGAAATTTTGTTTATTCAAAATTTCCTTACATAATTCAAAATAATAAATGAAATCATACTGATATTTTATAAACAACTCAATATCGATTGTTATATCTCGATAATAATTTCGTCCCATTAATTTTTACTTCAAAATCCCTCTATTGGAATGCTTATATTTAACAAAGGAATATAGAAAAATACTATGACAAGACTACGTGCTAAAGTCATGCTTGATATATGTTTGGAACTAGAGTTTGAAACTTATTTATGAAAGACAATTTGATGGATATTACTTTAAAATAAACTACCATTTAATTAACAACACTATTGAAAGCAGTTTATACAAAATATGGAAAGCAAACGCAATCATCCAACGCTATGATTTGCAAACAAACGTGGGAACTGAATCGCTCAACGATAAAATGTATTAATGAAACACACACTGCTACGGTTCATTGCAAAAAAAGTGTACATCATGCTCAAAACTTACTCTCTATTCCAGAATAGCGTTTCAGAAAGTTAAGTAAAGTGAATTTAGTCAACTAACTGGTAGGTTTTAAACCTACATGAACGAAAATTCAGACGGACAAAAAGTAATTTGAAATATAGTTCATCTAATTGTATGTTGTCACTAACTGACAAACTTTAAGTTGGATTTGACTACTAATTTTATTGTTTCTGTTAATGTTACATGTATATTCCTGTAATTGATTTCTATAAGTCTCAAGGAGTAAGAAAGAAACACTTAGGGGGCATTTATTTAAAAGTTTTCTTTTCCAGTTAAAATTAACTAAAAACTAGTTCATAAATTGATTTGAATTACCAGACATTATAAACAATTTGAGAGAAGTAAAACAGAGTGATATATCCTTGTAAATAAGAACGGACTCATTTATAAGCATAAAAATATTTCACTCGAGCTACTTCTGAAAGCAAGTTCTTATTTAAAAAAAACACCATTAACAGTATTAAAAGCGGTCTTATTTGTGTTTGACCGAAACTCTCAGTATTATTTATTCAAAAACTGGGCTCTGTCAAAAAACAGTTACGTACTTTTACCCTTTCCTCTTAGTATAACTACGAATATTTGCTTGAATTACATTTCAGCGAAAGAAATTTCATAAAATATGAGTACGTATTTATTTTGTAGACTGTCAGATGTTCCAATGTTCAGATTCGAGTAAGATACAGAAGTACTATTATATAAGTTATTAGACTTACATAATTACCATGATATTATTCAGCAAAATATCTGTAGATCATAGTGCAGTTTCACTCATCCCTCTCCTTAGTAAAATTAGATTGATGCCGTAGGACATAGCTAAACAGAAATGTAATTTCTTACGCTTCAAGAATTCACATACTATTTTTTTAACAATCAAAATAGTGTACATAATAACATTTTCATTTTATAAACAAATTAGTCAATTCAGGCTGAAAAGTTGTTAACTGACTAACCTGTTACTTCAGTCGGTTAGTTTGATTGTTAATCACAGTTTATATTTATTAATAATAAGGCATAAATTCAGATCATTTTTTTCGAATCGAAATGTTTTGTAGACAATCAATCATTTCGTAGGACACTTCATGAATTTAGCATGAAACATTTTAGTCACCATAAAAAAGTTGAAACGCAATCTTCTTGATATACTTGAAACTATTACGAGTTCACCTTACTCGGGAATCGGAATGAAGACCAAAGACTCAGTGACGCGATAGGCTATTCTAATTCAGTTGTTCCAGTCCCCGCTAACTGAAGGAAGAAGTCTTCATAAGGCGAAGAAAATGTATTCTACAGGCACCCAGAAAGGCAGAAGTTGCTAAGCACACAAATCAAGGTTAATCATGCAATGATAGAAACGCCCTTGGGAGAGCCAAAAAATAGAGTACAAAAATAATCCATCAAGCAACGACAGTCAACGATTTTCAGAGTGTGAAGTGTGAGCTGAAAGTCAGCTAAGCATCTCTGGTGCAAAAACTATGCAATCCAAAATTTCAGAATAAGAGTTACGAAATTAGGACATTTTCCAAGTGAGTTCTGGGAAGCTAACGTCCCCAACACTTCTCAAGGTTTAAAAGAGTACCAAAGCATTTAATCAGATCACAAAGCTAAAAATGAATAGACCTTGAACGTACTCCAAGACCATTATATTAATAATACTGCAGTCTACTGAATTCTTCATCATAAATATAACCCATAACAGGAAGAACAAACATAGAAAACATTTCTTTATGAAAAGATAGTCAGTAAATTTCTGCTTAGTGTAACGAGTTAGATTTAAGCAATTTGATTTCCGAAGTCCCACAACGTCATCATTATAGTTCTCCTATCGAACTGTTTTCTGATACTAATAGCAGGTAACAGTGAGTGATATCTATCCGTGGTGAAAAATTCCTTTCTTTCCATTTCTTGCTATACGTTTTTCCACAGTTCGGTTTATGGTTTGTTTATTTCTTACACTTGAAATGTACACCAAATTTACCCTAAATGCTACACTGATTCACTTCATCACATTGTGTTTTACTTTATTTGACATTGATTTACAGCTTCACTTTCGAAAAATTTGAATGATTTATTTATTCCATGTCCATTTGTTGGTGGATTTCAAATAACAAGTTTAAGTCAACTCAATTCGGAAAAAGTGAGTTCATATTAAGACTGACTTGATAGCCATAACTGTTTCGTCGTGTTATGATTAAAAATTGTTTATGATCTGTCATGTGAAGAAATGGACTGAATATTCTAGAACTGTAAATAATTATTTTTGTACTCACTCTTAGCCTACTGATCTGTTGGGAAACATGTTGTATTAGTGATATGAAGCAGGTCTATGATAAGAAACGCAGACAAACTCTCTTATGTCTATCAGAAATATATTCTAGTACCAAGCGTATTACGACTGCACACTAGATATGTTACTAACTGATCTGTGACCTAATAAATATCGTAAGAATATATAACGATATTCTGATCTATGTAATGCTGAAGCATAATGTCAAATAATTTTAAAAATCATTCAAAAACGTAAATTACTCATTGACAAATTATTCTATCATGTTTACTTTTTAAATTTATTTATATACAGCCTGTTTGTGATTATCAAACATTCGCAACAATGGAAAGTGATTGTTTTATTAATGAAGGAATTGAATGGAATTTTGACGATCCAAAGTGTAATATATTTGAAGTCAATAGCAGTAAGTTCATGATTACCAATAAGCATTATTACTAATACTCAGTTTAAAAATATTTACTTAACTGTAGGTCAAATGAATGAGAGTACTTTTCTTAAGGTTCATAGGAAAGAAACCAAACCATATGGGAATCAATCATCTTGTGATCGACCTGCTTAGGCTTAATCATCTCTCACTTTGAAACAATCGAAGGAATTAAAATGTGCCCGAAAGTAGAGTCACTTTACCAGTTTACAGTTTGACATTTAATGAACTCTTGGTCATTGAAATTCGAAAAGGAAATCGAACAAGTGGATTAATTTCTTCAATCTGATTTATTAAAAACGAAATACTCAGGTGGATTTATTTTATTTCAAACTGAAATGTTATTTCATATAAATCAACAAAAAGTATTCATTTATTTTTTTTCTATCTGAAGAAACAAATTTAATTTTCTGTTTCTTTTTTTCTCTCTTCAACAAACCAGTCAGTCATCACAGTTGTTACGCTTATTGGAAAAAAGACGGTTTAACCTATACAATACTGCACCAAGATCGTAAAGATGATGGGTATAGTATCTTTACAATGGTAAGAAGTAAATGAGATAATTTTTTTATTGAATTTAAACTGGAAAACTTTGCCACATACTTTACACTTGTGAATATTTTTTTAGTGATTCTTTCCAAGGACTAATTTATGTGAAATGATGAATTCCTACAAGGACTAATAAACTGTAGAATTTTTCAGAACTTGAACGTCTGTTACTAAATGCTGGATTTACTTTTAACAACCCGACATATTATCTTGAATCAGACTCAATAAAATTTAATAACAATCAAAATATTCCAGTATTTTGCGACATTTGAACAGTTTGCTTCATTACTGATAAACCTGTACGTAAGTTAGTAGAGTAATTCCTACCTCTATAAATATACGAACATGTTATCCAATTACATCCGATCCTGAACCTCGTCATCTTATTTTAGTGACCGACCGTAAAGATAACAACTTCAGGTAGTGTTTTCATAACGCAAGTAAATAAAGTGACTGCATTGCGTGTAGAATGCCGCTTATCATCAGGCATTATAAATTGAGCATGGCCGAGAAATAATTACTCATCCACTCTGAATTATTGCATCAGTATCCTAACATGAAAACATTTCAGTGAACTTAAAGTTATTCCTATTAAATTCACTTGCAAATGTACCGAACACTAAATATAAGAAAAACACCATTTGAAGTCACTTTGAATATGAGTCATTCTAAGATAAGAACTTTATCGACAACTCAATTAGTGAAATTAAGGCTGTCAAGTGAAATGGGTTGTTAGTTAAATCTCTCGACCGGGTTGAACGTTGTTCATCACTCCACATAATTATCTTTAGGCAGCTGAATTGTATTGTTAGCATATACTTGCAAAAAGGCAGTAAAAATAGCTCACTACAGTGATTGAGATATTTCAGTAACTCAGTTTCGGAATACCAACTTAAAAAATATCTGTAAAGCTTATTACATTTTCATCCCTACAACAAGTATATTTGTCTTGTTTAGAAAATTTTAAGCTACCTAATACTAAATAGTAGTATATTCAATCACTTAACCACTATTTCATTTGCTTGTTTATATGACACTCAGGTGTTCTCAGATATTCCGGAACCTTTAAGCCCATCAGATTCTACTTATGGTCAAAGTAAGCCCTTATGGATTTATCCAGGTTTATCTTCAAAATATTATCAAAATAGCTCTTTATTATTGGATTCAGATAGCCAACACTACGATACAGCAATTACTAAAAACTGGAATGATCAAGGAACTTACGGCAGTCTTGTGTATCAACTTCAAATACGTCGTGCTTGTAAGTTGAACGAATTTAATGTGATTTATCGATTTGTATTATAAGCTGTTCCATATTTAATTAAAAGTTGTAAATACACTAAGTATTATTAGTATTTTAGTTCACTGATGTTTTCCTAAGTATAAAGAAACTTCCGTATAACTATAAATTGTCCCTAGCTATTAGGTGTTATTACTTGGAAGTGATAATTATTTGTGTAGACTACAATGAAATGACGCCTCCAATGTAATGAATGCCATTTAAATATATATATTTCTGAAAAATTTCCAAATAATTTCACTGATCGCTTAATTTTCCATTGTGAAGAATATTATTTCTGGACAGTTAAGGAATAACTCAGTTTTTGTTAATAATATTAGATTTTAATTAGAAACGGTAACTCTAAGTGCTGTTTGTCAATTCATTTATTCTCAATGAACTTTGTCCCTTTCTAACTAGTTATCGCTACAATTATTTCTCTCCCTTTCTCAACTCTTGAAGGCTATGCTTCGTTAAAGAATGAGCGGACCTGTGTCACGTCGTTTTTTAATGATTGCTCTACTTAGAGTACCAAATTTTCCCTACACTTTATCTTCTTCCACTGTTGGCGGTCATTCGTTGAACTGTCATAAGCCAGCTTCCATTATCCATTTACTCAATAAAACTGTCCATATTAGAATGGCTAAACTATTCTTAAATGAGCAGATATTACAGGCATATAAGGAACCTCCAAATCGAGGTTGCTCAAGCCTATTTCACCCTTCTTTTAAATTCAAAACAGCAGTGCATAATTTATGAGTACTTCATTTTTGAAATAGATGACAAATTTATGCAATTTCAACCTATGAAAACACACTTTGCAATGTTTCATGTCAATGTTCTCGTTATGCTAAAAACAATACATTCCTTATATCATCTATTTTCTTAATTTCTAGTTGGAATATGCGATGATGAACCAACTAGCTGTACAAAAGGATGCGATCATGATATACGAAATCGATTATTTTGTTATAAAACCTGCCCGGTGGATGAGAAAAAATGTAGTAAGTGTTTTCAGCAAAATTATCATATAACTTTAACAGATATCCAGTAGTTCTTTGCTTGTGAATATACCTTGAACTAATGCACACTGATATTTAAAAAAATCCTATTAGTTGTAAAAAGTTATAATTATGTCAGTAAAATTAGTGTTAGATATTGTAAGCCTAAGTAACGAACACTTACATAACTGTATCGATAAAAATTTCAAATGGTCCATTTGTGAATCATATAAATGTAGGTTTGTTATGTTCGTCACTAGGTACGCTTGAAGCTATTACGAGTTCACCTTAGTCGATAAACGCGAAAGAGACAATTGCCGGCGTCCAGGTGGGCTACCTTAAATACCAAACTGCAAAGCGGAAGACTTGGTAAGCGTAAAAAGTATATTCTACAAACACCCAGCAATCACAATACAATTAAGCACACAACTCTCGTTTATTTATACATCATAGAAACGTCCTTGGGACATTTACGAAAATACCACACTAAAATACACAGCAGCCAATCACAGCCATGGATTTTCCTGGTGGGAAATGAAATTTCAAGGTCAACTGATTGGCCCATGCTCGCAAACGTGAAATTCAAGATAAGGTATTTATCAAGCGAGTTCTGGGGATCTAACATCCACAAGAAGGTTAATTGGTATTGATTGATAACAACTCCAAATAAGTAAACGAGCTTTCTGAACCATGTAATTTCATCATAAATACTGCACAGTGATAGCGTTTCCTTGTTAATAAAAGCCTTAATGATTCTCTGGGGTTGCGAATTCGACCAAATACTCAATAAAAATTAAATGTAGATCCTCCAAGAAGATATTTTCCACAATATACTTTATCTTTATATGACTGAATGATATGGGATCAAGGATTCTTCTCTTCTTTTTCTTTTTCTTATAGAGTCTTCACAATGGGATTCATGTTCATTTAAACAAAACTATCAAGGTCACTGGAATTTCATTGAATCAACATCAAACAAAAAATATTCTCTTTCTGAATCGAATAAATCTAAATGGACTAGTCTTATTTTTGGTGAAAATTATCTTATTTTCATGGGTGAAACAAATGAATCTTATTTGTGTATTCGAGAAGTACGTGAAGCTATTCAAGATTGGTTTATAATTCGATCAAGAAAACAAGCTAATGGATGGTATGTCAGTTTTATGAATATAACCGTTTTGTTTTCACTGTGCACATGTTTATAAGTATAATCTGTGTGTATCACAGTTTATTGTAATGGAAACCCATTTCTCAAAGGGTCTCGGTCAATGTCAAATGTCCGACTTTACTAATTGCTTACGCTAATTACCCCTAATGGAAGATAGACTGCCGATCAGTATGCTCTAGCAAACTTGTCCTGTGCTTTCGTTTCCAATTCTAAGTAGTTGCTATTGATTCTTTTCAGGTTTGCTTCCGATTCTCACCGTATTGTTTTCTGGTCTTGAGAATCTCAAGTGAAGGCTTGTCTTGTATCACAACCATTTAAGCTTATATAAAATCACCATTTGAAAACTATCATGAATGATACTAATCCAGAATGAAATTTTCCAGACTATTCAAATACCTCTAAGCGTTCATAACTAATGTACTAGTTTAGAAATATATTTATCTTTAATTTCACTGTTACATTTCAAAAAATAAACTCAATACATTTTTGAATTAGCTAAATCACCAAAATAAAACTTTCATGCTTTAATTCCTTTTGTAACATAAATGTTTCAACTTTTAAGTAGCTAAACATAAACCGTAAAGCGTAGGTAAATAAATCATTAAAGTGAATTTAGTCGGTTTAATTTTGTTCTTTTAGAATGCAGTATGTAGTTTATTTGAAAGGAGTGTTAATTTAACCGAAACCAACAACGATAACTATTAAAACAAGCAGTGTGTTTTTGTAAAGCGTATGAGTAAGATTTGAAGTTTCTGAAATCAAAAACTAAAATACTTGATAATCTTAAATTTCGATGTCTGATCGAAGATAAGTGGGGAATCCGATGTTGAACAGTAATCATTATTATTCATGATAAAGAGGAAAAAACATGTATTTTCTTAAATTTTCTTACATCTTTTCATGTAAGTTCGTATTATTGCATTGGAGCAAACAGCATTTTCTTACATTCTGTATTATTCTTCTAAACCTGATTCACCTAAATTGTAAGATTGACAGTACTATTGGAAGTTACTGAACGAAATTATTAACGAGTTTTAAGGGTAAATCTTGACTAAATTCAGTATTTCTACGACATCAGTATGGTTACTGTTCATTTAAATTGATGATAAAACAGTTTGCTTGACTGTTTTCAAGTGATAAACAATAAAAGTCGTTTACTCTTTGAGTTCTGTTTAGAAGCATGAAAGTCGTTCTCTGGATTTAGATTGTCTTGACCTTATATCACAGTTGTACACAAAGTGTTAAAGGCTAGTGATTTTGCACTTTTAATTTAGATTAATAATAATCATTCAACCTGTTAACTGATTACAGTATGAAATTAAATTTGTTAGACAGTAATTAATGCATTGTATTAAAAATGTAGGCTGTAAGTCAGTCATTGAGAAGTTCATATCGAATAGCAAATTGTAAGCAAACTAAAAACGTCTCAAACTACCAACCAAATTAAAAACTTCACGACTGACAAGTCATCAAGATATCTATTGACTATTACAAAAATTTAGAAACTTCTTTTTCTACTGTTGATACATTACATTTTATCCTGTTTGCATTGATATCAAGTTACTAAATTATTGATACTTACAGTAATCAATCTACCAATTAATATTCAGTCTATATAATGTGACCCAACTGCTTACTGTTTTAAGTATATTGAATATACATTTTCAACATGAAAATAACAGAAAATATAACTTTTAGTATTCATTCAGCCTATAGCTTCAATGGAAAGAGACACAGTTCACAAATGTTTTCACTCAATAATGATGGATCAATATGATTCCAAAATGTCAACATTCTTACTTCATTCAAATAAAAGTAGTCCGCATTTTAATCTGCTGCGATTTATTTTGTATACAATTAGTCCAAATATAATTGCATTAAATATGACTTAATGAATTATATAGAATCTAGCCGAAACCTAGGTGTCTTTTAGCAAATCATATATTAAGGCACTTCTGTTATGTTGTCTTCAAATGTCTAATTTTAATTAGATTACTTGGTGAATCTCACTATATTCTCATGTTATTTTGCATCAAGAAATTACACACTGAAATCAGCAACCCTGACCACCATTATAAATTTGGAAGCACTGGACGGCCGTTTCATCCAGTTATAGGTCTCATCAGCAGTGCGCGCATCCACGACTCCTACTCTTCACAGTATGCTAACCCAAGACCTTCGGTCTTGCGCGCAAACGTTCAGCTTCTGGAGCATTGAGCAAGCTAGCATCTAACGGTGATAATGTCTAACTCTGATCAATCTACAGATTTTGTATCACCTCGCCCATTTGTCTTTGGTAGTTACGGCCTACACCCATCAAGGTTGAACACTACTGGTCATATTTTTTCATTAGAACTCCGAGAATTTTGTCATGAAGCACATTTCACGATTTTGCAATTAGAGTTATGGAGATTAGTGTTTGTTGCACATGGAAATCATCAGTCAATGATTGTTGAACCACCATTAGAAATCTGGAATCACTGGGTGGCCGTCCCGTCCTGGTATGGGACTAAACAGCAGTGCGCAACCATGACTCCTGCACCTCACAAGATTTGAACCTGGGACCTTCGTTCTTGATCGTGAACGTCTAACACCAATCTCCATAACTCTAATTGAAATTATTATTCATAAAGCAAACTTCCTAAAAGCTCTTATATTATTTTCAATCTTTAAAACTTATTTTAAATATCACTAACATTTTCCTCAATAAATCGACCTGATTTAATGAAATTCAGCAATCTTTTATATGAAGTATAAGTGACATTTATATAGAATACATGCATTTACGTCTCTTTTACTAAGTTTCGTTTCAGGGGCAGTTAAAATAATAACTTAATCTCTTAAAAAGTATGACACATTAAATAATCATTGAATATTGACAGTCACTCATGACAAATATTTCATCCATGTAACTAGAATTCAAACAGATAACTTTTCTATAGATACCTACATAAACATTGTCCATTTGTGATTTATGTCCGTGCCAAAAATTAAACTTTTGACAAGAAATCTGTGTATTCATCATTTTTAAATCATATAAAATATGAGAGATAAAATATCAGAGAGAGAGAGAGAGCATACCCCAATAAAATCCTAGATTCACTGAATTTTCCTATTAAAATCAATTTATTGAATAGAAGAGAATAAAGAATGCAATTAACATTTATTTAATGACCTTTTATAATTGAAAAAAATATATATAATAACTAAAAAACTATTGTCTATCTTGATTGCATTTTGTTCAAATATCATTCTCATTTAATGTTTTTTTTCAAAATTATTTCACTATAGTTTGCTTGCTTATCTTCGTTACCATTAGACATGTTAATACGAATATACCTGAAAAGTGATTAAAACTGTTTGGACAATTATCTTATTACTTACTTACTTACATTTATTTGAGCCAATGGAGCAAAGGCCACCGGCCAGCATTCTCCAACCTACTCTGTTCTTGGTCTTTCTTTCCGGTTCCACTCGATTTCTGTTCATTTTTCACATGTCCGCCCACGATTCTCGGAGTATTGTTTTCTCTGGTCTTCCTCTTCTACATTGGCCTTGAGGATTCCTCTCCGACAGAAGGTTGTTACTGATGATGTCTGTCCAACAGATCCGAACTATCTTCTGTACCGTTCAGTAGAACTTTTTTGTCGCTTGTATTGAAAATTCTGACTCTGATGTTTGTCAATGTTTGTTTTTGGTTCCAGACGTTCTTCAGCTGTAGAAATGCTACCCTTTCTTTGTCGATCCGCCCCTTCACACCTGCATCAGATCTACCTTGCTTATCAATGGTGCAGCCCAGTATATGTAAAGGTCTCTACATCCTTCAAAGCTTCTTTATCGAGTATGAATTACTTTGTTGTATCTAGAGATCTTGCTTTTCCATTATTCTTGTTGAGGTTTACTGCAGCAGAGGCTGCTGCTACACTGATCGTGTTCTGCATTTGTTGTTGAGTGTAGGTTAGAAGGGCTATATCGTCTGGTAAGTCCAAATCGTCCAGCTGCATCCGATCTGTCCAGTATATCCCTTGCTTCCTATCGAATCTCCACCACCAGGGGAGAAAAAGAAAGGGTGAAAGTTAGCAACATTGCCTGACGCTGTTCTTATAATTATCTGACAATTCAGAATTAGTAACAAATATTAAACAGATACATTTCAAGCTTTATCCAGTGAGTATAAAGGATTATAATTTCATTTCAGAGATATTTCCAGTAGAAAAACAGCTATAGCAAATACATAAACAATTAGACTGTAGATATTAATTTTTATGGGTATTGGGGACGTTAGATCCCCATAACTCACTTGATAAACACCCTAATGTTGTATTTTATGCTTTCGCTTATGAACTGGTCAGATGACTTTGAAATTACATTTACCACTCTGAAGATCCTTGACTGTCATTGGTTGGTTTGTTATTTTAGTGGCTCTCCCAAGGGCGTTTTTATCATGTATAAATAAACTCGATTTGTGTGCTTGTGAACCTCATATTTTTCTGGGTGCTTGTAGAATACACTTTCTAAATCATATCAGGAATTTTGAAATCGTTCGCAGGGCAGGGGACAATCGAATGAGAATAGCCTATCGTGTCACTGGTTCATTTGTCTTCGCTCTTCTTTACCGAATAAGGTGAACTTGTAATAGCATTCAAACATATCAGTTGACGAGAATTTCAGTAGGACTACTTGCCGTATCTAAATTTCTTCATCTACGATTTCGTATTGGTTTTACTTCCTTTCTGGTCATATGAGGTTAGATTTCTTGTCACCAACTTAGCAGAGCTGAATTCACAGTGACTAGTTAAAGTTCTACTTATTTTTATTTTGCTATTTATGTGTACCGACTAGTAACCTTTCTATGTTTAATGATAACAACGACAGACTAGTCAAATTGATTATTAACTAGGAGTGATTTACACTGATATCTTATACGAGATGAAAAAAATATTTTAAAAAATAAATGCACTAGGCCGCTATTATTTGCCAACTTGAAACCAGTGACTTTATAAATAAATTTTCTTATTATCATAGACCGCTCTGATTAGAAAATTCACAGAATCTACAATACCATCAAATAGTATACGCATGCAAATTAAGTACTTGATAAAAAGCTAATAGTTTTTTCAAAGTCATTAAGTTTATATTAAACAAGTTCACTGGAAAAAGAGGTAACCAGTAGATGATAAAACATGAAATTGAAATTCTATTTTTCGTTTTAAATTGTTACCTTTTTTTAAAAAAATGTATAACAAAATTTTCTATATTTTACCAGTCAACCTAGAGATGTTTGTCTGGAGTTGTTTCAAAGTGGTATTCGACGTTCACTTGATTTGTATAACACGAACACAATGGAATTTCGATTATGTACGTTTATTTTATGTTGTGTTTTGCAGTTGTTTTTTTCTCTGAATATGCTTTAAAAATAGTTTGTTACAAAAATAAGGCTGGGAAATGTTATTACGATTGAATGTTTTCCAGTGTTTTCATGGTACTTAAAAGTTAGCTGTTGTACAGTTTGACCGAAATAATGAAAAAAATTGTCAAGTTACATGTTCTAAACTAAATTTACGAAAATAGTTGAACTATTTCGACAACTTTTAGTCAGTAAATTAAAACTAAAATGAGCTACTAAGCTTTTGAATCTAAAAACTGATGCTTATATGCGAAGTCATTATCTATCGTGGACTCACTTCTTCGCAAGAAACTGCTGAATACCATACGTTGTTTGATAGGTGTTCTGGCTAGGCTTGTAACATTTTACTATTGAACATTCACAATTACTAGTGCTCAAAGAAACAACCGTTGTATTGTCGTGCTAGACAGATATCCTAACACCGGTGATTCGTGATCAAACAGTACGCATTTTCGATGGTTGCTCACTGTCAACAATATATTTTTCAAATTGAAAAATTTGTTCAAAACAGTGGTTCCCTTTGATAAATTTGAATAGAGAAATAAGAAGACATATTTTGAGATAGTACCATTTCATGCTTTCTCGTCAGTCACATACAAGCAACATGTTATTTGTGTAAATACAGTTTTGAAGATAAGGTCAAAATTTCTTATTTAGCATGACATTCACTCACTAGAACTATGGTAAACAAAGGTCAATGGCTTACCGAAACTACACAAGCCTACAACACCTATGAGACCAATTCTATCCATGATAAATTCACCATGCCATAAGCTAGCCAAGTGGCTGAAAGAAATTTTGGATCCTGTTTGTAAACAACTGTCGACACATACTATCCTCGATTCCTTTGAACTTCTCCCAACTTTGGAACACTTGAATATTTCTAATAGTCGGATGTGTTCTTTCGATGTAAACTCTTTATTCACAAATGTACCTCTCGAAGAAACTGTGGAATTTATTTGTGACTTCATAACTTCACACAACATAAGAATACCCATTCCGACTACCTATCTTCGAGATCTAATTTTGCTGTGCACAAAGAATATAAAATTCTATTTCCAAGGTAAAGCATATACACAAATCGATGGAGTGGCTATGGGAGGCCGTCTCGGACCTGTTTTAGCAAACATATTCATGGGAATGATAGAAAGGCAATTGAGTCACTTCATCGATGGTATTACACTTTACAAACGATATGTCGACGATATCCTTGTCATATTACCACATTCTACAGACATTAATGAAATCAATGATTTATTTAATGCGATTCACCCGAATCTGAAAGTCACTTATGAGGAAGAAAAGAATAATGAACTAGCCTTCCTCGATATCCTGCTTCATTGCCGTCCAGACGGATCAATCAGAAGAAAAGTACACCGCAAACCCACCTGGTCGGGACAGTACCTCCACTTCACTAGTTTCTGCCCCATACAATATAAACGTTCTGTTGTCAAAACTTTATTCGTTCGAGCAAGTAGAATCTGCACTGCTGAAACATTGAACGACGAATTCAAGCTTTTTACTGAGACACTTAAATCAAACGGATATCCCGAAACGTTTATTGGTCATCAGAACACAACTACGACGAAGCTGATAGCAACGGATGTGCCCAAGAAACCAGTGTACCTACAGTTACCTTTCAAGGGTGATCATTGCATGAAAATTACAACCAAACAGACTGCAGCTGCAATGAAAAAGACCTTCAGTGCAGGTAATCTGAAGCTTATCACAAAAACTCAATCGATCTCAGTTACCCCAATCAAGTCTCCAAGACCGATTCAGTCCAAATCCCACTGTATTTACCAATTCACATGTAACTGCGGAGAAAGTTACTTAGGTAGGACAGATCGCCGATTGGAAGACAGGATAGGGGAACATATTCCAAAATGGCTAATCAAATCCATGATTCATCAACCTAGCCCATCATCTCAAAATCGATCAAGAAACCCAGCCTCGTCCATTGCAAAACATCTGATGATGAGTGGTCATCAAATTGACCCAAAATTAGCCTTTAGAGTTGTGACATGTAATCGAAACCCACACACACTGAAACTACTCGAAGCTATCTTGATTGGTCGGAAAAGTCCAACTTTAAGTGTTCAAAAACAACTGTATGTTGACCTTTGTTTACCATGGTTCTAGTGAGTGAATGTCATGCTAAATAAGAAATTTTGACTTTATCTTCAAAGCTCTGTATGTGACTGACGAGAAAGCACGAAATGGTACTATCTCACAAAATATGTCTTCTTATTTCTCTATTGAAAAATTTGTATTGACTAATTACTTCAACATTAATCCATAAACCTCTGTTCAAGTATCCTTTTACTGTCTGTTTTAGTAAATAATATGATACTGTTAGGTATTTGAAATCAATTAGCTAGAACTAAGCAAAATGTTAAATCTCCAATAGGTATATTTTCACAGATGGTTGAAACAAACTAAATGTTTTCAGTAAAAGGAACTTATACTAACAAATTTGAATGGAATTGAAGATCTTGGCTAAACTTTACCACGAAACCAAACATTTATGAGACACTGTAATGTCATAAGAGGAATCTTAGTTGTGCAAAATAGATATTGTAATTCACAAGCTTTCATGGTTCCATGGAAATCCTTTACTCAAACACACTTCTAAAAAACCTATCTTCAGTATTTGTCAATGCCGATTTTTATGTTCATTACTATGAGTTTCTGCATAGTAGGGATTTCATTTTTGTGAAATAATTTTTTAATGTACTCCTCAATTTCTAGATCAATAAATTACAAACATAATGAAACAGTTGAAAAAAAAAGTATTTTATTAGCTCTTGACGACTGTATTTCAGTGATTAAAACATTTCTCAGGTGGCTTCATTGATATAACTTTTTACTGTACAATAAACAGACTAAATAAGGTAGGTCTCTTGCTACACACTGATGAATTTCGATGTAAACTGAAGAGAAGTACATCCCTAGTACAATGTGGTCTCTAGTTAAATTTTGCATAATTCAACATGCTGTATGATAAATATTTAATATTAATTGATTAACTAATAAGGTAAATAACTTTATTAGTTACTGAAAATCAAGAGAAATTGTAGGAAAGTACGAACACAATAGTTGAACAGTTTAAAAATGATTAACACAGAGATTTAATTAGACCTCACACAAAACTCCTGAGAAGTAAATGAATATAATAATTAAACTGAATATCACATATCATTGGTAAGAAAATGTAAAGATCATATGGATGCGAAACATAGCCGTTAAGAGTAGAAGATATTCGTAGGTTACTGGTTTTCGATCGTAGGTGTCTCCCAAGCTTTGCCTGTATTTCGTGAGACACCCGCATAAGCAATGCTGTTATTAGAAAACGAGTACTAGGTAAGGATGGTAGATCGATAGATGAAGTGGTGAAACTTCATCAGTTGAGGTGGTTGGCACATGTGTTACGAATGCTCAACCACCGACTGCCGCGACCAGATATGTTTTGTGGTGTAGGAGTAGGTTGGAAGAAAGTTAGGGGCGGCCAGACCAAAACATGGCACAAATCCATGAAGTCACTGACAAGTGGACTGAGTCATGTTGGTAGATGTCGATTACCTGGTGGGTGTCCGCGAGATGATAATAATGGATGGCTGGAGACCCTTAGTGACGTGACTCAAAGTCGTTTGCAATGGCGCAAGTGCATCCACTCTTTGTGTTCTCTTTAATTCTAACCTTCTGAACTCCTTATAATCTCTATCTTTCTCCTTCTCAGTCAGTCAGTTGCAACGTAGAACTTCGTACGTAAGTACGTCAGTTCATGTCGCCATACCACATCAGCACAGAGATATAATTGTCAATTCAAATCCAATAGTAGAAGAGGTAGTAAGGGTATTAGGAGTAATCGGAGAGGTTAGGATTAGAAGATATTATTCAAGAAGTATGATTCAATGAGATAAGTTTAGAAAGTAAAAACTAGAGGTGTTGAAGAATCCAGAAGATTAGGATTTGAGAGAACACAAAGAATAAATGCACTGGCGCCATTGCGAACGATTTTGAGCCATGTCATTCAAGGTCTCTAACCATCGGTTACTTTCGTCTCGCGGACCCCAACCAGGTAGTCGACAATTACCGACATGGCTCAGTCCACTAGTCAATGACTTCATGGATTTCTGCCATGTTTTCGTCTGGCCGCCCCTAGCTTTCTTCAAACCTATTCCTACACTACAAAACAAAGCTCGACGAGGCAGTCGGTGGTTAGGCATACGCAACACGTGTCCCAACCACCTCAACTGATGAAGTTTCACCACTTCATCTATTGATCTGCCATTCTTACGTAGTACCCGTTTCCTAATAACAGCGTTGCTCACTCCTTTCTCCTTCTAAATTTATCTCACTGAATTTTACTTCTCAAATCATATCTTCGCTCCCTAATCTTCTCCATTACTGCTAATACTTCTATCGCTATACTGCTATCACTCTTGGATTTGAAGTGACAATTGCTTCTCTGTGCTAATATGGTATGGCAACATGAACTGATGTACATACGTACGAAGTTCTATGTTGCAACTGACTGACTGACTGAAATGTAAAGATCGATGCCATACAGTATACTCTTTGACAATAATGAAGAAATATAAGTACATAATAAAGATGTATCCATTTGGTTCACAATTTAGGCCTCAGTCATCTCATTTTTTCACAAGCATTTGCTAAATTTAATTTCGTTCTACACTTGTAAAAAAAATGAACTAAACGTCCTTCTTTAAAATTGTCGAAAATAGATATAAACCAGGTCAAACAAGTTTTTTGCTAACCTTACAATAAATAAAACAAGAAATATCCAACTAAATATTTTGCATTATGTTTGATTAACATATTTCCGTTTCTTTTTTTTGTGGTGGTTTTTAACAAGCACCAAGCAAAAAATATGGATCCGATGTTAAAACATTATGCAACTTTGAATCGCAATCATTCAATTTAAATAACAAACCGAAAGAACCCTCTACTGCACTTATATTAGTCAGAAATATTGAACCATTTCGTAAGTCTCGACAATTTTATCAAGAGTAAATTATCAGATTTAAATTAAGGTGTTAGCTTACAATACCCATCCGCAGAGTATATTCTATTCTTCGTTTATCAGTCACCCTGATAACTTTTTACACGATAGCTGTTTACAGTGTATAATTTCTAGAAAGTGACAGGAATTAGTTACAATGTCTTACTGTGATACAGACGATGCAAAGAGAAGGACGGCAAACAGAAGGGAGAACGAATTACATGATAATTGCTATTCGAGTAAATTAATCAGCAAAAGGTTTATATAAATATGACCAGTAGAGTTCAACCCTGTCGGTTGTGGGCAGTAACTACCGTAGATAAATGGGTGAGATTGAGTAAATATCTTCAGATTGGTCAGAGTAAGACATTAACAGTGTTGGATGTTGGCTCAGTAGTCTAAAGGTTAAGCGTACACTCTGAAGACCGAAGATTCTGGGTTCCAATCCTGCTAGTAGCAAGAGTTGTGGATACATCCGGCTGATGAGTCTCATTCCAGGCCGAAACGACCGTCCAGTGCTTTCAGGTTTCTAATGATGGGCTAATAATGAATCATTTATGATTTCAATATATATATATATATATATATATATATATATATATATATATATATGTCAGCATACATCGTAGATTTATGAAATCATAGTCAGATTATTAAAGTGACGATAACGCTTTCTCTGCAACTGGTTTACTAACAGATATATTAAGTAGGCCAAATATCTCTATCAGTCAAAGTAATAATTTGAATATTAGCGAAAGCAACACTTTTATTGTTTTATTTGAAAGGTATTCATGCAATTAATTTATCTTAACTTCAACTATGCACTAAAATCATCATAAAATTAATTTTGATAACAATATATTATTTGATTATCGATAACATATGTGGAATTGTTTTATCAGTCAGACTTAGATTATTTTACCCTCTATTCACTAAATCACTTTTATTCTATTTCAGAAATGTCAAATCCATACAGTGATCCCCCGGTAAAATGTGGTCTGTACCAAATACGACTTGTTGGGACAATGAATATCAATACTGATTATTTAATGCGTAAATGGAAATTGACTGGAGTTAGTCACTCAGCCAGCAATGGTTATGAACGATTTCAAACATTGAGTAACAATATGAATTCCCAATACTATGATCAACTTGTAGATACGCTGCATGATCAGTCATCTACAAAATGGAAATATGATTATTCAGGGCATAGAATCAGTCGTTATAAAAAGTCACCATCATATAAGTTAGTCAGAAATACCGATTTCATGTACACTCATCATAGTAAGGCATCGCAGATGTTTGTTTCATGTCATATTGAATTGAGTGATTTTGATAGAACTTATGGTTCAACAGGAGAATTTGGAAATAAAATTTGGATTCATAGTGATTGTTTGTATGAACAAATTCAAAGTTCTTTTAATACTAGTAAGTTGCGGTGTTATTATTAAAATTCAAAGGAATTCACAACTTATAAGTAGTTACATTTTATAATTGATCGCTGAACTTCTTTCAGCTGTTGTTGTCGTCAATATTACGCTTAAAATATGGATGTTTCACAAGTTGACAACTTTAAAGACCTATGTAACAGGTTTATCAACACATGATTCGAGTAAAATATTCATCTTGTAATTCACTAATCTCGTTCAAATGAGTTTTTTTTTAAACAACCATCTTGATTCTCTGTACGAATAATGCAATTAAGCAAAGCTAGTTGACGAGTGTAATGTGCCTGTTTTGGGGAAACAAAGTATTCAATTAGAAAAAATACTTTGTTTCATGTATAAAGAGACTGCCTATGTCATAAAATATTACTTGTTAGCCTACTAGTTAGATATTAGTATTTCAAAGATTTGAAGTACTTATTGATTGAAGGTTCAAATAATATTTCATGTGGTAGGATAGATTTTTATCAACACAAAACATCAAGTTCATTTGAGTTCTATTAGGTCCATAGACTCATTTACGTGTCTGACTTTTCTTTACTAGTTCAGCTATTGGAATCTAGATTCAGAAAATTAACCTTTATACTAGGAGAAAGTTTATATTAACTCCTGTTTCTTTGGCGATCAATATAGGTAATACCCCAACATGTATTTTAGACATTTTCTCAACTTCTTATGTTCTTTAGGTTGTACATAATTTAAGAATCACCTCTTGTTCTTATGTAAACTACTACTGTAAAAATATTTAACCAATTCTGTCATGTATACAGTCAACCACTGATCTAAATGGCCTCAAATTTTGCAAACAACTACTTTAATTGTTATAATTAACCTACTCCGCTTCTAACCATTTTAATAATCTCATGTGTATATATGTATATATACATACAAGTATTAGTATAACGCTCTCATCAAAAGCCAATATTTATTCCTTCTATTTGTTTCCGAATGAGATTTTTAACTTTACATAAAATTCTATGACATTTTAGCGTTAGCCTAAGTAAAGTTTAAATAATATTGTATCAGTGGTTTAATATATATACCTTATAATAATAATAATAATAATACCTGGTTTCTTCACAACAGTACATTTTATGAAAGTACACACTCCTCTTCACTAATTACTCCATATTACAACACTCAAAGCTGATCATTCAAAAAAGTATCTTTTAAATGTCTTCCAGTAGTCATTCCATGCTGCTTATATTCAGTCGTTACAGTTTTCAACTAGTTCGACTGAAATATGTAAAAAAAAAGACTGCATTTCAATGTATTCATCTCTTGTTTATTCGAAGAACAAATAACTCCATTGTTGCCGCTTGACTTATCCTAATTTCAAACCGTTTTCTAATAACACATGAATGTGTACAGCTTGTACTCAGTTCACAGACATAAGGAAAAGAAATTTTTTTACTGGGATATTTATGCAGTTAAACATATTAGTGGCCCATTTCTTACAGTACGTCACTCAACAAACAAATATGACTTAGTTAATTTTAAATAGTAAAAATTATCGTTACATTTATCAGTTAATTTTTCAATAAACATAACTAGTCAGTTTACGTAAGATATTTTTTTAGTCATATTAAGAATAAATTAAGCAAGGTTTGAATCCTATATATATATATATATATATATATATATATATATATATATATATATATATATATATATATATATATATATGTATTACGTCTTGTCTTTTAATATGATCATGCATGTCACCGGGAAGTGCCTAATTACATAAATACTAACTGTATTTCGTTGTTGCATTTTTGTCTGAACTATGACTATTTGTTTTAACAAAGTTGTTCAACAAATAGAGAAACCTTTGGTGATTTACAGAAGTTAATTAAAATTAGTGTAAAGAATACATTTTGTTGTTGTTGTTGAAAACTGTCTCAAATATGGCTGTCACCATATTCATTACGTAATAAAACAAGTTTTATATATGTATTTATATAATTCAGAAAAAAAAGTAGTTAGAATAAGTTACATAAAATGTACCTCTTTTTTTCTAGTTATTCAGTCACTCAGTCAGTCAGTCAGTCAATTCAGACATTTCTAATAAGTTTTTTTTTACCGATGACCGAATTGATGTGAAAAGTTACAATATTTATTTTCTGTTACATGGATTTATACAGTTTCTTTGTTTTTATTGGTAGTAAACATATAAAACTGGTCACAAGTAAGAGTTTTCTTCTTGTCTAATGAAGAATAGGAAAAATACAAGAGTTTTTAATAAATACACAAGTCAAATTTATATATTAATAATAATAATAATAATAGTCTAAAGTAATTAAATATTCATGAGTAAATCAGAATAAATTTTACCTAATAACAGCAAACATATCAGTTGGGTATTCTATTTTCATTAGAACTGAATACTGATTAACACTTTCCTGACTGAAATTTCATCAAGATCAAAATTTATTCTCTTGTGGTCTTATTGTGCGATAAAATCTCTTCTGTTAGATGTGAAATATATATATATTTTTTGATATTTAGATTTCTTAACAAAATATATAACAAGGATGACAATCAATCATCTCGTATAGGAATATTTACAAATGTATTGGATAAACGCTAGATTTCACTCAACAAAAGTCAAGAATTAAAAATAAATAAGATGGCTATGGATAAAGGCAAGCATGGATATCTGTCACCTTAAAATAAATAGAACATATGATTATATGTGTTCTGCAATACAATCATTTCACAAACATTACTTACTTTCTACTTACTTACGCCTGTTACCCCCAATGGAGCATAGGCTACCGACCAGTTTTCTCCAGCAAACTCTGTCTTGGGCTTCCTTTACTAGTTCTTTCCAATTTTTGTTCATTCTTTTCATGTCTTTCTCTATTTCTCGACGTAATGTGTTTCTTGGCCTTCCTCTTTTCCTTGTACCGTGAGGGTTCCATGTGAGGGCTTGTCTCGTGACGCAGTTCGGTGCTTTTCACAGTGTGTGTCCTATCCACTTCCACCGCTTCTTCCTGATTTCCTCCTCCACTGGAATCTGGTTTGTTCTCTTCCACAGTAAGTTGTTCCTGATAGTGTCTGGCCAACGAATTCGAAGTATTTTGCGTAGACAACTGTTCACAAACACTTGTATCTTCTGGATGATGGCTTTGGTAGTTCTCCAAGTTTCCGCTCCATACAGTAGAACTGCCTTGACATTTGTATTGAAAATCCTGATTTTGCTGTTGATTGATAGTTGATTAGAGTTCCAGACATTTTTCAACTGTAGAAATGAAGCCCTTGCTTTGCCAATCCGCGCCCTCACATCTGCATCCGATCCACCTTTCTCGTCGACGATGCTGCCCAGATATGTAAAGGTGTCAACGTCTTCCAAAGAATCTTCATCTAGAGTGATTTGGTTGGCGCATGTTGTGTTGTATTGTAGAATCTAACTTTTCCCTTTATGTATGTTGAGACCTACTGCTGCTGAGGCCCCTGCCACACTGGTCGTCTTCTCTTGCATTCGTTGTATTAAATAACATTAGTTGTTGAAAAAAAACAGAATAAAACACTAATTGTTATTTTAATTTCTACTAGTTTAGATTATTATTATCTCAATGTGTAAAAACATTGATCTCCATAATTCTAACTGAAAAAATTGTACAATCTTCTCACTCGTGATTAGATTCGTGAGGAATTTCTCATATTTCTAGTGAGAAAACATGACAAGTGGAGTTCAACCATGTTGTGTGTAGGCAGTACATACTGAAGACAAATGGGTGAGGTCTTGTAAGATGCCAAGGTTGATCAGAGTTAGATGTTAACACCGTTGTATACCGGCTTAGTGATCCAGAGATTAAGCGTTCGCGTACCAGACCGAAGGTCCTGGGTTCGAATATTAGTGGATGTGCACTGCCGATGAGTCCCATACTGGGACGAAAAGGCCAACTAGTGTTTCCAGGTTTCTAATGGTTGTCTAACAATGATTGATTGATGATTTCAATGTATAAAATCACTGATCTCCATAACTCTAGTTTGAAAAAATTAATATTTGTGACTGAATTTTGACCAGTCTTAGTTGGTGTATTTATATTCTATGCCAGATTACCCTGATATTGCCATTGGGTCACAGTTTGAATCTTCTTCATGTCATATTCAACAAAGACTATTATCAGTTGATTTGAATGGTTTACATACTATACTTTATTCTTGATAGTTTCACTCGGTATGTTCAACTTTTGATTACAATCGAAAGTTGTCGATCATTTACATAAGTTGATGATTCATTTTTATTTGAAAACTAGACTTGATAATACAAACTTTTTACAATATAATAAATTGAATTAATGTACTACTGATTTCTTTGATAACATTTTATTAATTCATAGGTCATGTCTGTCTATCAGCTTACAATATCATACCACTTGGATTAAACGACAAAAAACAATTAATCTTGATAACTTATCATGTTATAACGAAAACATATTATTGTTGGGTAATTTCAAATTGTTCATAGTATGAATTTTATTCTGATAGATATTCAAGGAAATGAAACACAACAACGTTCAAAGATATTTAGTTTTTCTTTTCGATACACCACAATGTCAGTATCATCGACTTCCTTCAGGTGATATTCAAGTTAATGAAGAAGGAGCAATAGCTCATATCAGTCTAACATCAGGTAAAAAATTGCTATTTTGAGTTTGTATCAACTAATTAGTTTATTGTCGCGTAACTAATTACGTCTGTTACCCCCAATGGAGCGTAGGCCTCCAACCAGCATCCTCCAACCTGCTCAGGCATAGGCCCACCTTTTCAGTTCCAACCGATTGAAGTTCATTCTTTCCGTGTCCGTTTCCAATTCCGGGTGTTATGTGTTCTTTAGTTTTCCTCTTCTACTTTGGCCTTGCGGATTCCAAGTGAAGACTTGTTTTGTGAAGCAGTTAGTTGCTTTCCTTAATGTGTGTTCTATTAACGTCCAGCCCCCTTTCCTAATTTCTTCCTCTACTGCTAACTGGTTTGTTCTCTCCCACAGTAGGTATTTGCTGATGGTATCTGGCCAACGGATCCAAAGTATTTGGCTTAGACAACTATTAATAGACACTTGCTGTCCAAATATGTGAGGATTTCTACATTCTCCAAAACTTCTCTGTCAAGGGCGATTCGATTGGTGCATGTTGTGTTGTATCTGAGGATCTTGCTTACTCTAATGTATGTTAATACCTACTGCTGCAGAAGCTGACTTCGATGTTTGTTGACAGTTATTTTGAGTCCCATAAGTTCTTCAGTTGTAAGAATACTGTCCTTGCCTTGCTCATCCGTGTATTTATATCTGCATCAGATCCATCTTGTTTAACAATGATGTATGCAAATGCTTCGACATATCCTAGATCTGCTTCACCAAGTGTGGTTAGGTTGGTGCAGGCTGTGTTGCATTTTAGGATCTCGCTTCTTGTCATGTGTATGTTGAGGCCTACTTTTGCAGAGTCTGCTGCTGTTACACTAGTCGTCTTCTGAATTTGTTGTCGTGTGTAGAATAGAAGAGCTAGATCATCTGTGAAGTCCACATCGTTCGGTTTGTTGCACAAGTTGTGAAAAATTGTTTATTTACTGTTCAGAATTATATTCTATTAAAAACTTATTATTCTCGATATTACAATATTCAGGCATGTGGCACTGAACTACTGTTTTATTATAGTTTACAAACAACCATCAGTATTCAAATTTCAATGTTACTTTACAAACTATGATTCCTAGAATAACTCTTTGCTGATTTCCATTTCCTAATACTGACTTTTATTTGTTAGACTCAAAGTCCAGTTATAAAAACCGAAGCACTTAAACGTTTAGAATTAGTATGAAACAGTTCCCTCAGAGCTGTTTGTTTTACATAACTGTTCCATATAATGTAGTCGTTATGTCTCATGATTATTAACTGATAATTGATTTCTTACTTTCATCTTATATAAGTGTTGTAATACCTAAATGGTTAGATATTAAGAATTTGTACTTCTAAGTCTTACGGAATTGTATTTTACTGTAACCATCTTGTTCATATCAGATGAACTTATAGCGATTCACAAGAATACTAACAGAAAATATTTAATGACTGATTGGTTAACTACTTTATTAATGTAGTTAGTAATATATCGAATCACATGAAAAAAGTGATGTAACAATAGTATAGCATTCAGGTAGATATGGAACTACAAATGTTAGCTGCTATTCTTAAACTGAAAACACTAACTTAAGCTTCATTTACACTGTTCTTAGTTTGACGGTCAATTTTTCTTCAGAATATTTCCTTTTACACAAATTAAAAATTAAGTATGTTTACTATTTCGAAATGATATCTTCTGTAGTGTTTTTACTGTTATGTCTTTGTCTTCCAACCTTGCCATTTATTCGCTCACATCTAATTCGAGTGTGTATATTCATGCTTACTTCACTGATTACATGTCCAACTTATTTCGTCTGACAGTAATTACTTAGTCATCATGCTTAATCGCATTAAGGTTGGCTCACTTTCATTCTTCACTTCACTTCTCCTTGCTTGTACGTTTTTCGTTCTCATGTCTGTCTCCCTAAATGAATGCATGAGATAAATTCATCCAGAAAAAAAACCATAATTGGCTAATTTATTAACTCCGTTGCACAAACAGGATTTGATATACGGAAATCGATGAGGAGATTTATTTCATCACATACTGCAACATTCATAAATCTCGGAGTCCGAGAGCGGGTCGTCAAAACGGCTTACTAATAACTAGGCTCCTAATTTAAATTACAGCTTTCAACCGCTTGAAAAGTATCACTAAAGCAAGATGAAAATTTAATCAACAGATAACTGGTTTATTGAAAACGTTCATCGGCAAAATTTTTCTTAATAAATACTCTGTCTAATAAATAAATAAAGTCACTTCAAACGATACAAAAAAAATCATTTTTTAAAATATCTCTTTTGTCTTAATCACAATTTTTTGATAACCACTTTCACTCTAATGTATTTAAATCCACATGATAACATAAATTATCAAGTAGACAATTGTTGTCAAATAATAATTTTCAACTTTTTTGAAAAAATAAATTTTTTTCAGCTACTTGTATAAATTGCGCACTTAGGTCTGATCAATATTCTAAAGAATATTCCAATAGAAAAGAGTTACGAAAATCAAATGTATTACGTATACAAACTAATCCACTTAAACAACAACGTCAATCACAACGTGCACTACGTCAAAGTATACAACAGAATTCAAAAAATATCAGTTGGAAAAATCAAATAGATTTATGTACAGTTTTCATATCTACTTGTCTTTCATTTTTGATTTATTCTTTAATAAATGAATGAAGAAATTTATTGAATTTGTAATTTAGATTAAGAAATAATAATAATAATCATTGATGTTATCGATGTGTAAATAGAATATGTTAATAATATATTTTATTATTTTTAGGTTTTGAAAGCAAAAAAAAATTTTCATTGGTCTTATATATATTTTTATTAATTTAAATATTCGGTGAAGTTGTTGTTATTTTCGGGCAGAGTTTTGGAAATTTTGTGTTTTTACACATTTCAAATCATCAATCAATCATTGTTAGACCAACACATTAGAAACCTGGAAGCCCAGTAGTCCGATGGTTAGGCGTTCGCGCACAATACCGAAGGTCTCGGGTTCGAATCCTGCGAGGTGCAGGAGTGGTGGATGCGCACTGCCACTGATGAATCCCATACCAGGAAGAAACGGCTGTCCAGTGCTTTCAGGTTTCTAATGTTGGACTAACAATGATTGATTGATGATTTCAAATGTGTAAGAAGTTGTTATTCAATGATATTTTTAAAATAATTAATTATATATAAATACCTATGTAAAAGAAATATTGTGGATTTACAGTATAATGTATATATTATTGAAATCATTAAAATAAATCATTGTGAGACCGCCATTTAAAATCTGGAAGTATTGGATGACCATTTTGTCCTGATATGGAACCTCAGATTAATCAGAGTTAGACATTAACATTGTTGGATGTCAGCCCAGTGGTCTAGAGGTTAAGTGTTCCTGCGCAACACCGGGTCCTGTGAGAAACGGGAGTCGTGGATATGCACTGCCGATGAGTCCCATACTAGGACGAAACGGCCGTCCACTGCTTCCAGGTTTCTAATGACTTTCTGACAATGATTGATTTATGAGTTTAATGTAAGAAAACAAGAATATGTTTCTAATTGAATTCACTTTTAACTTCTTTTAATGAAAAATGAATAATTTCAAGTGCTTACTACTATAGCTGGAAAAAATATAGGGACTGCCTGATTATAATTAACTTTCTAATGTACACTGCTTAACATTAAAGAATTGTAGGTATTGAAACCAGATATTCATTCACCTTGTCTCTTATAATTAAATAAGAACGAAAGATAGATACAGTGGTACAGTGCACAGATTAACTTACTAAAAAGTATAAATAAAGTAATGACCAGAAATTGACTGGTATAATATTTTAAATCTAAATCTCTCGTGAAAATGAGTCTAAAGTAACAACGGAAAGACTATTTTTTACAACTTGCTTATAGTTCTTGACTGGATGAAAAAGGTTCATTTCAGGAAGTAGTATAATCATCCAACTGTTTTGCAAAACTACATAATGAAAACTTGCATTCCAGGAAAAATTACGCACTATAAATTATGAATACTGTATGATTATCATTCTGAAGGTCAATGAAAAGTATTATTTAAGAGAGGATTTTGTTTTAGTCATTACTCTCTGATGTGCTTGTCAAATGATATTCTTGAAACTATTACGAGCTCACCTTAGTTAATAAACGAGAGCGAAGACAAATGATCCAGTGACACGATAGGCCACTCTAATCCGAGTGTCACAAGGCCTCATTTAATGGAGGGAGAATTCTTAATAAGGCGTAGAAAATGTATTATACAAGCACCCAGAAAATATGAGGGTGACAAGCATACAAATCGAGTTTATTTATGTATGATAGAAACGTCCTTGGGAGAGCCCCAAAAATAGCATACTGAAATGGTACGTCAACCAATAACAGCCAAGAACTTCCTGGGTGGGAAACGTAATCTCAAGGTCAGCTGATAAGCCCATGCTGGAAAACATAAAATTCAAAATGAGGACCTTTATCAAATGAGTTCTGAGGATCTAACGTCCCCAAAACTATCTTCTGTATTCGCTAAGCGCCACATGAATGTTTGATAATCACAAGCATGAATTAAGCCTAGCTACTAGGTCTTGAATCATTGGTGAGTACTTCAGGTTTTCCTACAATCGACTGTCACTTTCTTTTTCTGTCAATTCTCTTATCACATAAGAAAACTTTATTTGTGTAGCTAGTGGTCTTGTTATTCATTTCAAATCATTTTAAGTTTTATGTCAATAGTTCGGTCGCGAGTATAGTAATCACTCGGACACATTGAATTTCAGTTATCGATCAGTATTATTTTATTTTCATTATTAAAAAAAATATGTTCAGGGAATTTGCGAAACTCTCTTTTATAATGATATCAGATATATGAACTAGTCAATAGTTATTTTATTCACATAAATTTGGAGGTAAAGTAGTGTTATTCAAAAGTAGAATGATGAGAATCAATATATTTGGTTGGTCCTCGCGGGAATTAACTCCCTTTTTGATTATCGAAAATCAAACATTCAATCTTATTAAGATTGTCATATGAATAGAGATATGAATTTAACATATACGTGAAAAGTGAATCTAACGAATTTGTCGTTAGAATTAGTTACCATTTTTATTTCATCTTCAAGAACGAATCATATAAGAAAGATAAAATTTTTTGTCAATGAATCAATCGATTCCAGTAATATTGTGTAGTACCTCACATACTTTTGATTTTGTTCACGTTTAATTTGGTTAAGTCTATTTGATTAACTTACATAACTGACAGAGTCATTCGTGTTGCAATAACTTATCTGTACCATTGTGCTCTTATTATTTGTCACGATTGTATGAACAGATGTGACTGAACATTGCTTAACTCCAAAGTGCATATTCATTCTATTGGCTTTAATGTTAGCCTCTTAAATAATCCGATGACTCATTCATTTTTCTATGTATCTATATGTACATTTTAATCTTATTCATTCATTCTCTCACTCACGCGCTGAATCTCTCACCTGCTCTTCGGCACCTGCATATCATTTTGCTTCGTGTGCCTGTGGTTTTGGGGGTCTGTTTGTGGTGCGACAATAAACTCATTCAATGCTTCATACTCGTCTTTTGATTTATAAATAGTTGGGCGTTATCTAATAACCGTTAGCAGGACGAGCAGTATACGAATTCTAAGAATATACTGAATAGTGACCACCACAAAACTTAGTGAAACATAGGTTACCACAATCGCTTCATTTTGTGCTTTCTGAAGTTTCGAATCGATTTCAAAATCATTCAAAGTGGTAGAAGCTGTTAGGTAACACTAAGATAGACGTCAGTAAGTTTGATACTGCAACAAACGATCACTTGCTTTCTCCTTCCAATCTCAATATTTTCCATCAAACTGAGAATCAAATATAGAATAATACAACACTTAATTTATGAGTTAAAACAATTAGGCATCTGATGGAAATACAAATTAATGTATATTTTTAAAAACACTGAAATTAAAAAAAAATTTTGATCACTTACGTTGGTTGGTCTAACCAGAGAAAATTCTACTTAGGTAAGTATTTTAACACTATATCAGTGTAAATCAAAGTTTGAAATGGATAGAACCTCACTTCATTAGATCATGGACAACTATGTTAATTATTCATACACCACCAAGGAAGGAACTTAGTTCATCTGATAGACATTTTGTTGAATATTTATTACTTCATTTTTTTAGTGCAAGTATATTCATTCCATCGAGTATCTTGGGACGGTAATATCCACCGGCAATCTATTATAAATAAATCATCTAACTTTAAGCTGCGGTAGACAATGGCACCTGTAATCTACATTCAAAATACACACTCGGTTCTATAAATACACTACTAGGTGAACCTGAAATACTAAAAAAAAGGTGGGTGCGTTAATTAAGCCCTCCAATACCAACTTATGTAGCAAATAGTGTTATTTCCAAGTCCTGATAACTTGAGTATACTTACTTTTGATCAATTTTTATAATAAGTGTGCATGTACACAACTATTTCTGTATTCATTTCACTTATCTGTTTCAATATCAAGTGCAAACTGACTAAATACAGACATGGATAGCGTTCAATCCTACATATATTTGCATGGGAAAAGTTAATTAATTTTCTTTCTCTTGCCTTGTCATTTACTAGTCATGTATTTGAAATATAGTGCTACGATTACTTCTCGTTAGTTTGTCAGTATTACAACATAGCATTAGTGATAGTCGTAGCGATGACAATTTGAACAATAGATAAACGAAGTTAGATAAAGCATACTGTTAGTTGTCACATGTCGAAAAAACGAGTAATATTACGACCAAATGTGGAACGATTCATTGACAGGTTTTCATAATGCGCAAATGATGCTGATATTGGTCGGAAGAACTTCTTATCATTCCACTTAATTTGCTTTAATTCAATATTCTTCATATTATCTTACAACTAACGATAGAAAAATACTGTTTTAAACATTAATAGAAGTTCCTATGCTGAGGCCAAATATAATGAAAATTTCATTTAATCAAACGTGGATGTTCCTTTGAATTAGTTACTCACTTATTTTAAGATACAAAACTGATTTTCAGAATTCTCACCACAACAGAAAGGCAGACACTGGGTTGTCTATAACCAGGGTAAATATCTGGATCAAAAAATTGTTTCACAATGGTAAAATTGCTGATATGTTTTTGTAACCCAAACCTTTTATCACCTATGCATCTACAGGCGGATTAGTAGAATTTAGTGAAATAAACTTAAAATGAAAAGATAAAGATGATAAGGAATACAGAAGGTTAGGATTTGAGAGAACACAAAGCATGAATGCACCTGCGCCACTGCAAACGGTTTTGAGCCATGTCATTCAGGGTCATTAACTATAGATTACTATCATCTCGCGGGCGCCAACCAGGTCAGTCGACACCAACCGGCATGACTCAGTCCAGTTGTCAGTGACTTGGACTGACTGACCGGCTGAGTGACATATTTTGAGGCAATGTTAAACGCAACAACAACAAAACAAACACTATAACGTTTAATCAGAAATTTATACCAAGGCATATTGATAAACGAATATTCAAAGACTAGGGAGGATTTACAACACAAGTAGATCTTAGAAATAATTAATCGAAATTACTGATTTCAACCTGGTAAACAGTCAATGGTAAGGCTGGTAAAAAAAGGAAAACAGAGAGAGAGAGAGAGAGAAAAGAATTCATAACAAGAATTAAAGACATGAACAAAAATGGCCAAGAAAAAAATAAAAAATAATAAACAGTACATGAAAACAGAGAGTTAAAAGTCATGCATGATTCCATGTGTTCATAGGAATCACTTTTTGCATTTGACAATGGAGAAGAGAATAAGTAAACACAGAGATTGTCATTCATTATAAAAAGAATTAACGAGTGTTAAGTTTTAGAAATATATATATAATAGAATGATGATTATTGTAGTAATTTCAATGAAAAGAAATAACCAACCATAAATATAATCATTAACAATACCTGTTGTGTATTACTTACTGTCTTGTCTAAATAGGTTGGTAGATAGATAGATAGATAGATAGGTAAGTAACAGTAAAACACACACACACAAAAATAAGAGAGAGAGATGATAAAAGTCAACAAAACGCCTTCCTAAATCAACAATTAAAAGTGTAGTAGATAAATAAATCAGTAAATAAATAGATAGATAAAACAAATGAAGAATTATAAAAAAAATGATTATAATTAATTAATTAATTAGTTAAAAATTCTTGTAATAAAGTTAAACGATGCTTTTCACAAATATCCATTTTATTTTGTAAATCAGCACGATCTGTTATTTCAGCATGTTCTATTTTCCATGATAAATCTTCCACTTCCGCTTCGAGTAAAGCTTGTTGATATTCAAATAATTCTTTACGTTCTAACTTTTCACCATAAAATGCATGTGGATAAGTATATTTCAACGTGTAACGACAATTTCTTAATGTATCCGCAGCAAGTAATAAATATTGCCAATCAATCCATGTACCTTCTTTTTTTAAAACTTTTTCATTAATACGTGTTTGAATACGTGCACGTTGATCATGTTCTAAGCGTAGACTACGTTCATGATTTTCCCACTGTAAAATAAAAAAATGTTCAATGGATGGATGAAAAAGGAAATCGATAGATATTTCTGACTTACATTCCTGGCAAGTATCAGTAGATAGATAAACATTTAGATTGATAATAAGTGATCTCGTTAACAAATCAACTTCGAAATCAACGTGTTGAGAAAGTTGATTTTTAATTATTTCTCACTTGTTAGCAACTTAGTTTAGCTGAAATTACTTCTTATCAGATAACTCATTCCCCGCTTGAGTTTGTGGTGGATGTGAGCTCGGTTTATTCTTAAACTTCGTACACTGCTCGTCCTTATAACTGTTATTAGATAATGACCAACGGTGTATAAATCAAATGACGAATACGAAAAGTTGAATGGACTTGTTGTGGCATCACAAACAGATCACCAAAACAAACGAAGAGAAATGATATGTGAGTGTCGAAGAGCAGGCGAGAGAGTCAGTGCGTGAGTGAGCGAATGAGTGAATAGTATTAGGATGTACATATAAATACATAGGAAAATGAATGAGTCATCGAATTATTCAAGAGGCTAACATTAAAGCGAATAGAATGAATATGCACGTAGGCGGCAAGCAATGTTCAGTCATATCTATTCATACAGAGCGACAATATTAAGAGCACAATGGGACAGATACGTTACGGGAATATGAATGATACAGTTACATAAGTTAACTGTTACATATCTGGGCAGCATCACTGACGAGCAAGGTGGATCTGATTCAGATGTGAAGGCGCGAATCGGCAAAGCAAGGACTGTATTTTTACAAGTGAACAACATCTGGAACTCAAAACAACTGCCAACAAACACCAAATTCAAAATTTTCAGTACAAATGTTAAGACAGTTCTACTGTATGGGGCGGAAACTTGGAAAACTACCAAATCCATTACTTCGAATCCGCTGGTTAAATATACTCCTCAGCAACAACCTACAGTGTCAGAGAAGAAACCAGATCCTAGTGGAGGAAGACATTAGAAAGAAGCGCTGGAAGTGGATAGGACACACACTACGAAAAGCACCTAACAGCGTCACAGGACAGGCCCTCGCATGGAACCCTCAAGGCAAAAGGAAAAGAGGAAGGCCAAGAAACACATTAAGCAGAGAAATGAAGACAGACATTAGAAGAATGAACAAAAATTGAACAGAACTGGAAAGGGAAGCCAATACTGATCGGCGGCCTATGCTTCATTGGGGGTAACAGGGCTTAACCATATTAAACGTGAACAAACTCAAGTGTGTGTATGTGAGGTACTACATGTTAATCCAATTCCAGAAAAACAGCAGTTGCATGCGATAAACAATTCAAAACCACTACGTCGTAACTTATATGTCAAATAAAAAGTTGCTTGATGAAGAAAAACACCTTACGAGGAACATTAGTTCTTCAGAATTAAAGATATGCCATGCTACAGAGTGCCGACTAACACTGGTTTCTGGCTTTGTGTTTCCTGTTACTTTACGTTAAAATGACTAAACAATATATGATGAAAACAATGATACTAAGTTGGATCTGACATGAGAAATGGCCTTTTACCACGTGTCATACGAGTAAGCTTTGATTAGACTCAACATACTCCTAACAACAGTCCATTTGACAATTTAGAATGGGCGATTGAGAAGGAACCTTGCTAAGTATTCCAATAACTGGAATTGAACAACTGCCTAGTGTTAGCTCTTTTACAATGACTTTCTGGCTGACGATAGACCATAATTATATTTTTTTTGTCATTACTTATATATTTACAAAATATCAGCTAAAATCAAGAAAGACAGTCAGTCAAACGCAACACAGAACCTGCCACAGATTTACATCGGTTTAAGCTCCTACACCTACCTCGTTAGCACAATGAGATGAAACTATCACAGCAAATCCCATATAGTAGGTACAAGTATAGTGACAGTATTATTGGTCATAGAAAAGAAGTACGATTTAAGCAATGAAAATTAGTAACATCCAAAAAAATTCGTGTTGAATCCAAAAACTTATGACCCAATGAAATGCAAAGAATGAATACGACTGAGTCATTGAGAGAATGATTCTGAACCATATCAAAATTAAGAAAATATCTTACGGTGAACAAACTAGACTAAACTACAAAATATGGAATAGCCAATCTAGAAACTATTTTCGTTATTATTTTATGATGAAATTTCGTCAAAAAGTTATAGATAGTCAAACTAATTAGTGAATATCTACTAACAAAGCAAGCACACTCATAAGCCAAGTCATTTCGCTTTAATGTGACCATAATCACAATGCCATAAGCTAAATACAATCGAATAATAAGGATTGGTTAATGTAAAAAAAAAAAATTATTGTCATATCAAATGCACCACCATAAAAGCATGATCTATTCTAATTAAATTACTTGAAATCTACTCATAATTTAGAAACATTTCAAATTGTGTATAAACAAGAGCAGATATAATGAAAACAAAAAAACGAGAGTAAAATTACATTGTAACATTTTCTGACAGTTTTAATTCGTTCGAATTTAAAAAAAACTTTTAATATGTTGTTGCACTATCACTCACTGCACTATTATTACTGCTACTACTAGTTTTATGCAAATACAACGGAAAATCAATAATAATCACATAATTAGTACAATGGACAGACATTGTGAAAGTACATCTACGTGAATTAGTAGTAGTAGTATTATTTCGACGAGTTTTTTGTGTGCTAACAAAAAACACAACAACAATCAAATGTATGATTTGAATTGTAAATCTAAATTTTAAAAAAAAAAAATTGGTAGTGAAATCGCTTGTACAACACACCAAAACTTACTCGTTCATAATAAAACATATAACGTTCAAGTGATTCACGTGCACGTGTTCGTACAGATTCTTTAGCAGCATCTGGATTCTCTTGATATTTACTACAAAAATAGTATTCTGCATCATGTGATTTCCAAACTTTTTTTTAGACAAATGAAAATAGAAACAAACAAAAAAAGCCTACATTAGTTAGTGTTTTGTTACTAAATGAAGCATGTTTGAGATGCATACTTTTTAAAGTATTATGTAAAATAATTCTCATTTATAATAAATCTCAAAGCATAAAAGTAATACTTAACAGAAAGCCTTTGATGAAGGCCCGTTCATAATATTTGGTTTTGAGTTTGTGTTGAGGTTATCTGTGAACGAAGTGACAAATACATAGTCAACGGATTGAATGAAGTGACACCTCAGTGAGAAACTCTTGCCACTATACTATATCCTAATTTCAGAATGAAATCGTAAATCAGTCATGGTTAGACCACTATTAGAACCTGGAAGCATTAGACAGCCATTTCGTCCTGATCTGGGATTCTTCGGCAGTCCCATCCATAACTCCTGCTACTGACAGGATTTGAACCCAGGACTTTCAGTCTTGATAGAGAACGCTTAACCACTGGACCACTAAGCTGGTATCCAGGGTGCGCGATGACGCTTGAATTGAACCATCTAGCTAAAGAGTCCCAAATAGGATGAAACGCGCATCCTGGATTTCACTGCTGGCCACCATCCATCTCTGCTAACAATGATTGTAGCCTGAAGGAAATAATCGAGGCGATCCACACAGGATGCACATATACCAGAGATTAGTTAATTGCAGTGTTAAATATTAATGGATAGATTCAAACAACGAATGCAAGTGAATTAAAGTAAAATCCGTTTTCGTATCATTAATGTAACTCGTTTACTAAGTACTGGTTAATAATGTATTCAGCTCTACGCTACACTTTATTTTGTAGCACCTCACATATATCTTGTACGTTTATCATTGTTGAGCTTGTATGCGCATGTACGTTTGGGCATTACTTGCCACCTACACATATAGTTATTTGACTAGCTGTATCGATTAACAGTTTGAATAATTCGATGTCAATATCGACTATACATATTTGAATTAAATCAAATAATTTGAATAATAAAGAAATTGTGGCAACGACTCGTGTTCTCTCGTAGCGATCATCAAGACGGAGATATACAGGAAATCGAAGATAACGAAAGTCTAACGCCACAATTTGACAGCTTATCATACCCTACCTAGATGCATAAACTGAAGTGGGTGTCTTGAGGTTTGAACTTGCAATCTATGGCAGAGAAGTTGAATGTTTTAGCCATTGAGCCGCTGTCCCTTTTTTTAAAGATTGATTATGATGCAGCCAATTGATTAAATAGTAACCCTACATCCATAGAAGTGCTTATTCATTAACTGGACTGTTTACTATTACATAATTTTCATATCATCAATTTTTGTCATTATTTACTAATTTGAAAACTTTATTTTCTCAGCTATCATTTTTCAAATAATTTCCTCCTAGTTTCGTTACATTGACTTACAAAGACAGTTTCAGTATTTGTCAATAAACCATATACAACCCAGTGTATTATTTCCCTTCCCTATACTTCACATCAAGAACATATTGGAACTTACGGAAATAAACGAAAGATTTGATTATATCTAGATATGATTTTGTTAATAGTGTGTGTTAGTTAAGGCGTTTTTGATTAAACTATCTTCATTCTTTTGAAGGTGCATGTATTCATACTGTATCACACAAAACAGTAATCAATGATAATTACAGAGGGAGACATTCTTTCAAAATGCTAAAATGATATAAAACTTAAAAAAAATTTCAAATGCTAAAAGACCTATCACTATCAATATTAAAACTGACACAATTACTTACCGCCTAAACACACCCAACAGAATTCGTAGTGACAGATTGAGCATTTCTAAATGATGGAAAAGAGTGAAAAGTGATGAATAAGTTCATCTTATTTATATGAATAAATTAAAGATACAATAGGATCACCATTGGATTCATTTCTGAGCCATACCTGATAACGTCTGAAGCTGCCAAGTCATACAATCTCTAGGACCCAACCCAGGGAGTCGTGAAGGACCAATAGATGTCCGTTATGTACATTTTTCTTTCATACCGCAACATCATGTCATACACTGACCACGTCTCCGCTTTTTCCAACTAGTTACAATGTTGGAAGATAATTCACGATGTAGAATTTGTTGGAACGGAATTCGTAGTATATGTCCACGCCACCAAAGCCGGTGAAACCGATTGAACTATCGCAGCTATATCCGGACATAAGTAGCCGAACCTTTGCATCACTAACATGGTGTTGCCACTGAATGTCAGTGATCATTTGAAGATTTGGATGATCAAATATAGAGAGTTGTTTAACATTCTCTACCTGGAGAGGCCATGTCTCACAACCATAGAACACAACTGCTCTCAACAATGCGTTGATCCAACTTTTTACAGCCAGACTAGTATTAAAAATGCGTAAAAGACGAGCGGAATTAGCAAAAGCCACTTTGACTTTCGCTATACATAGATTAATCGAATCACTCACGCTACCACCAATACTTACACAGACATCCGCATACAAATACATAAACTTCTCGACTAATTCTATCTATTCACTAAAAAGAGTAAGTGGATATTCAGGGTCCTTCCAGCTTTGTAAAAGTACTTTGCACTTAGTAGCTGTAAAGTATATACGACCGTCAGCCGTACTAGAGAACTTGGGGGAGGAACTAGAGTCCTAATATATATAAACTTTCGTAATAAAACGTTATATCTTTGGTTAAGTCATAAAACCCTACTTTTTCTTTAGTAACCATAGCTTCTGGCAACTGCGTTTCAGTCTGTAACTCAATGTAAATAATTGTAACAGGCCTAGAATGACCGTTATAAGGATATGTACTTGCACATATAGTTATAAAGTAGTTAGTCAGAATAGAATAATGCATTTTACTGTTCAGATAAAAATAATTTACATAAAAGTGTGGTGATTATTCTTAAAGTATACAGATTAACAGGATATTATTAGAAAACTATTGACCTATTACACTGTTAGAATTATTATGAATAATGAATTAATGTATAAGTGCTAAGACTTAGACTAAATGTACTATGAAAAATGAAATAATTTTCTATCAAATGGCCTTTTAGATTAAGCAACATTTAATTTTGTTTTATATCAGTAAATAAAAGTTATTTAACTTTTTCAAATGGTTCTGTTTGTGAATAAGTAACTCATGGACGGTATGATCAACCCTAAAACAGATTACAGGATTTTTTTTCCTATATTTTGATGAATAAACAACTTTGTCTCACCATTTTTTTTCATGTACGACCAAATTTTATTCTAAAAAATTAAAACTTAGTACTGCTTGTTATTATTATTGTTTTAGATAAACTAAGTGGTTTGAATTTTAATTATCGCAAGAAATAACAAAAGTAATACAAATCTACCTACCATATGATTGCAACCTTCATTTTTCTCGATACATACATGACATGATGGACAATCCTTAGTATGAGCTGTCATATAATTTGCTGTTCCTGAATCATCTCGACATTTAACAAGCCAGTGTTTTAGAGTTGCACAACTAGTTGGAGCATGATACGCTTCTGAGCACATAAAACAGAACTCAGCATGACATCGTTCACATTGAACACGTCGTGCTTTCGGTTCTTCAAGTGCACAAATGAAAACAGGACAGTTGAGGCCAACACAAAAACGTAATGATGGATGACTCTAAAATAATGAAAAAAAATCTGAAGATTATATACCTGAGTAATATGAATCAGTATTAGTTTGTGGTACTACAAACTACACTGAAAACTCAAATGCACTGTGCAGTTCATAGTTATGATGATCAGAAAATCCGGGTCGTAGCTCTTACTTTGACGTAGTGGTCAGGTTTACTTATCCTAATAATCCGGCTGAGCTAAATTGACTAGGACACTTATTTCTTTGGGTCCTACCATAACAAGTAAGTCAAAAAGAGAACAGTATGACGTGAAACAGTATATTGAGTTCCGAGGAAGAAGTCGCACCGCCAATTGTGCAGAGGTATTATAGCTGTAGGCTGTTCCCTCCGGGTAACTAGCATCTGCATCTGACGCTTCATCACAATGCGAAGGGTAAGAAAACGTTAATCCTAAACATCTTACTCTTCCCTTTGCCCCACGGATTTTAATCTTCGACAGTGAGACTCTTTGAAGTACGTAGGTGATACAACAAAAATACACAAAAATGTCACGTATGACCGACCTTAAGCAGTTGTCCCTTGGGCTCTGGTGTCGTGTCTCTAGGTTACTAAGATCGCTAATAATCCAGTTCCCTTTTTAGGTCGCGAAATAAAAAGCATTCTTTCATGGTGCGGGTACGAGGAAGGTAACAACCGTCCTTTAATAGCACTCGAAATCACCTTGTTCACAAATAAATCTCTTAGTTATTTCCTAATATTTCTCTTATTCTCTATATCAACCCTTCCCCTATGACTTTATCATTGCACACCACTGATATTAAGAGACGATTTTAAGCGCTGTTGTTCCGGATTTCCTGAGACCGAGCTCTAAACTATATGCTGGAGCTTTCAATGTTCAGACATTGTGTCAGATGAGCCAACAGGCTTTCTTAGGAAGAACTCTATAATCTCATCCTATCGATGTATGTTGTGCAGGTATGATTCAAGTACAGTCAATATTAGAGAACTAGATCAAATTATGATCCATGTTTCTGGGGAATTGACTCCAACTTCTCGTATCTTGGAATGGGCTCCGATAAAGACTTTATGATTTGTCCGACGGGATGGTAAGAAACGGGATACATGTCTCTTTGTCGCCTTTGCCTGCACCTCTACTGACTGTGGTTCAGATGAAGAAGATTAGCTTTATGGAAAACTTTTCACCTTCCTATTTCTTGAATAATATCCTCGAACTCTAATCTCTCCGATTACTGCTAATACTTCTATTGCCTCTACTACTATGAAATTTGAATAGACAATTGCATCTCTGTGCTAATGTGGTATGGCAACCTGAACTGGTGTACGTACATACGAAGTTCTACGTTTTAACTGACTGCTTGACTGAAATTGAAGAAAATAAGACAGGTTTTCAACTTGGATTTAGATGTGTCATCGCAATATTCACACTTCGTCAGGTTCTACAACATAGACACGCATTTCGACGTCCAACTATTGTTGTACTTCTTGACGTTAAGGTGGTATTCGACACTGTTGACTTATAAGGTTCTGTGACAGTGTCTGTCATTAAAAGGTGCACCAAAGAAATACATTAACCTTGTACAGACTGTACTCGAACATTATAGGTCAAATCAGAGCTTAAGGCGAACTGCCACCAAGTGGTGCTCGTCACGGTTGTCCACTTTCTCCATTCGGACTTAACTTAGTCGCTGACATGCTTTGTTATGTATACAGCCATTGGGAGATTCACAAGAAACGAAAATCACTGAGTTGTTTCGTTTAATTACTTCATTATTTCACTATTTCCTTTGTTCTATATTTCTTGTTTTTACGTAAACATAGAAAGATGGGAAAGTTTTGTTTAAATGTACGCAAGCACTTACGTGGTGAATTTCGAAAAAATAAAAAGCAATGAAAAAACTAGTTTAACTGACTCCGGTAGTCAAATCAAGACTGCAAAAATATTTTAAAAATTATGTTAACAATTTAGAATAATAGAACAAAATATCTCACCTCAACCATACGTTGAAATAGAAGATTCAAATATTTATCTTTTACAGGTGAATTTTTCAACAATGTTAAGAGGAAATCTTCTATCACTAAAACATTACATCCAACTGACATACATTTGATTTCAACACTTGAACCTTCTTCTATTTTAATTGTTAAATAGGAACGCCAACAATCGGGACAAAATCTGTGTCCACAAGAGAGACCAAAGAGACCATTTGTTTTATTATTGGTTAAGAAATCACAATTTTTATCGTGAGAATTATCTGACCAAACATCAAACACACTATTGTTAACAGTAGGAGTAGCAGTAACAGCAGCAGGCGAGGAAGAAGACGAAGAAAAATGAATAGTGCTAATTGGGGAAGATGAAGTACAACTTTTTGAACTTCCTTGTTTAAAAACTGGATTATGAAGCAATTGTAAATCTGATTCATTGAAAATACTGACCGGACTGTTAGTTTCATTCGATGGGACTGTATAACATATTTCACAACAGGAATCTAGATAATAATGTATAAAGAATAAAATCTCTCATAAATAATTAATAACAGTAATAGAAAACCTATGAAATAATTAGATGAACCAAGACTTAACCAAGTAGATTTTCAACACTGGTTGAATATCAGGTAGTAATTGGTAATCTGGAGAGCATTAGTTTATTATGTTAACCAAAATTGCATTTTGCATCCTCGTGGGTTACAGATGTAGATTTTGTGATTGCAACGACTAGTTAGCACAACTTATGTGTTACTTCAAGAAAACTCATGCTCCAATTTAAACTTAAACCTTCCTCATTCATAATTGAAGTGAACGATTTTACCCGTTGCCTTAAGCATACTCAGAACTCATAACAACAGTCACAATTATATCATTACAGATCTATATATTAGGTTTTGAGCAACACTTTCCATAAAAGATTCTATTGGAAGTCTCAGAACCAGATAACCAGATAGGATTTAAACCTAATACTTGATGATGAAACAAATCGCCTAGTGCTTCCTACGCACTGGCCGCTAACACCTAATAGCCATACTTTCCGGAAGTGACCATCCTGGTCAGTTTAGACTGTGCTAGGCATATTGTAAGATGTATTCCCACTCTGAAAAACCTGGAAAAGAGTGGGTTAGTCTGGACGGTTTCATGAAAGTAGATTATAACCAGAGCCAGCTCCCGGCTGGAAGTGGAAGAATTTGGTCAATATTCTTTTAGGTAGTCTGTACTCTACAAGCCGATACGGGAATTTTGTGAAGTAAGGATGTTGTACATAAGGTTAGCCTTTTCATACATATTTTTCCAAGTAATGTGACGGCAATACTTCAATGATATTATGTCAATTTTTGTACAAACTTCAGTCTATATGCGGAAAAATAAGTCCCACTTAATAAAATTTCATTCGATTAGAAGTATAATAGATTTCATGTACCAATTCCTAAAGCGAAAAATAGTTACAGAACTACAATTTATTGAAGTCACGCCGATAAGATGGTGAAAGCAGGTAGCCGTACAGTTTCAGTTCAGCCAGACCTAAGTTTAAAACTTATGAGACATCTTGGAAGGGAATGTATCATAAAAACATTGCAGTACGATTAAGCGAAACGATCATTCTAACAACTGCAATTCACAAACGAAAGTGAAAACGCAACTTTAAACTACCTAAAAATAAAAACTGCTAACCTGAAGTGATTTTCGGAGGAAATGTGTATGGGACTACTTGAAAATTGAGATTTTGAATCGTATAGATAGTAGCCATTACTGCTTGACTATCACTGCAGCTGGGTTGTATATTAACACCTGGGAGAATATTGTGACTGATTAACGTAACCAAAGGATGGGCCAAAAATTTTTTCTTGATTCCCTCTACATCCCACTTGTTATTATGTAACAACAAACGAGCTATAGCTGGTGGTACCTGAAACCGTTCAATATGATTAATGTTTAGTTTCATCTTTATGTAAGACAAAAGAAGTAGGATAGTGGTATGCAGAGATATGTGCTAAATAATATCAATAATATTAATGTATTTATGCAGAAAAATGAGACTAACAGGAATACATACGAAAACAGGCTTTGAACAAGAGTACTCCCACAACATAGACCTCTGAAAAGCATATTTACTACTTAATGAGGTAACAGAGTAAAACTATTAAATGATTACTTCTGGTCTCTATTTCGAAGCATACATTTCAAGTCACTGATCCAACCGAGGAAATGGTGTACTAATTTTGCACTACCAAACGCTAGCTAAGTTGAGTCCAAAACAGCCCCCAAACATAATCGAAATAATCAGTGTGCCCTATTTCGTCCGCGCGTTGAGTTACAGTTATAGGACTCGTGAATTTTCGTCTCACTATGAGACGTGGGGGGATTGAAACATCACTACATATGCAAGTAATCTAGATATCAACGTTCTCAATGAACACTAGTGGCGACAAAGGATAGGCCTCGGCAAGATGAAAAATCCAGCCACTTTTAGCAAGTCCTTAAGGTTATCCAACATTACTGATTAAATACTGAAGTCACTGAGGAAAACAGCTACCGCTAGAACATAGACCCGGGTTTATATTCAACGCCTACATCGAAGACAAGTGTCTTTTGTCAGTCGTTCGAAAAAGCAATTCAAGCTTGCTCGAACTATGATAACATAGCAATGCTCTAAGAAACTGAATCATCGTATCAGATCTAATATGAAAAATTTCCTTAAAAGCGACAGTTAAAACCCCAAGTTACAGGCAACAGTCGAAAGCAAAAAGTCAGTCAGTCGCAACGTAAGACTTGGTACATACTTACATCAATTCAAGATGCATTAACACATCAGCATAGAAATATGGAGTAGCTAATTCAAATCCCGAAGTGGTAGAACTTGTAGCAGTACTAGCAGTAATGGAAAAGATTTGGATTCGATGTCATTTGGGAAGTAAATCTCGAAATAAGTTTAAAAAGAGAACAAAGTTCACGAGGAATTCAGAAGATTAGAAGTTAAAAGACAAAGGATGGATGCACCTCCACCGTTTCAAGCGATTTTGAACCACGTAAAGGTCTCTCTCTGACCACCAGTTACGACTGTCTCGTGGACTTCGACCAATTAGTCTAAATTCACTAACATGCTCAGTCCAGTTGTCAGTGACTTCGTGAATTTATGCCATGTTTTCGTTTGACCGTCACTAGTTTTTTTTCCAGCCTACTCCTACACTAGACAGCATCGCCCGTAAAGCTAGTCAGTGGTTGGGCATACGTAATACATGTCCCAACCACCTCAACTGATGATCTGACAATTCATCTACTGATCTACCAGCCTTACCTAATGTCTGTTTCCTAACCTAATAATTGTCCCAGGATATACGAGCAATGCCTTGAAGACACCTATGATTCAATAATAACAGCCTACTAATATCCTCTACTCTTAGTGGCCATGCTTTACACCCATATAGTAGGACGGAGTGGACTGCTGCACCATAAACCCGTGCTTTAATTATTAGTAGACGGATATCTCATCTACGTCATAAGTGACGCAAGTTGGCAAAAGGCAGTCAAACTTTCTGCATCCGTGCCGAGATTTCGTCAAACATCAGGCCATTAGGACTGATGAGACTCACAATATATGTAGAGCGGTCAACACGCCCAAATTCTTTTCCTGCAACTAGTTCAAGTGCCCACACAAGTCAATTCTGAAGCAACACTTTGCATCTCGAGGAGGTTGATAGCATCCTGAACGTGCTTGAATTGGTACTTAAGGTGTTCATAAGACTGTTTTGTCAGCCTCTTTACTAAACAAACCTATCTCATCGGCTGGTTTTAGATCAACAAGTTTGCATTGTAAGAAAGCAACCAAATTATCGTATTTTTTCAAATCATGCAGTAAAATAAAATCGCAGTTCCCGAAATCAATAGATGCTTATAACATTCAATGAATTCAACCAAGTAACTAATTATTGAAATACTTCTTACATCATTTACTGAACGTTAGGATAATATAACTAGGACACTCAGCGGGAATTACTTCGTCTACTAAGAGCCTCAATGTACCGAGCTATTGTATGTGCTAAGCGTGTAATTGCCCTAAAGCAATAGATCATAGGGTGGCGAAAGTATTTTACTGTTATTCAGTGATCATTTAACACTACTGCATCAAATCTGTTCTATATTTGTAAAATGAGCATAACAGAACATACATTGATTAGGTTACACAGCGTATCAACTGTGCTGTTTAGGAAAATCTCAACTTCATTCCTTTCAAGCGCTTTGTACAGAAACGATTCAGGATGAAGTCTGTCAGGACAAAACCTGAATATGATAATATAAATAGTGGAATATAACCATACTTTTCACTTTCCGCATCATATTCGGGCTCGATGTAATTGTAATCGTCTGATTCATCTGAATCATACGACTGGTCATTGTTTGTCTCCTCCATTTTGAAGACAAAAACTTAAACGTTGAAGACTAGCATCCCGACCTAGATTTTAAACTACGCTGCTCCGTCTTTTGTACAATATCCAATATCTTTTTCAGAAGCAAGTATGTGTAACTTCAGCCCTTATTTAGCCAGGAGGTCACTTGTGTGCTGATCGTATCTGTGAAGCAGCATGTGAGGTTATCTAGAAGAAAGAACAAGAGGAAAAGGCGAGATGACGACCCAGTAAACACACAGAATACACTTACCTTCAATAGATAGCAACCAGAAACAAAGAACAGAAACTAAAAGTTGTTAGAGTATGGTTTCGAATGTGATAAATATAAACCAATTCATTTCTTGAGCTGGATTCTTGATTTTTGGTTCAGTTCCATGTTAAAACCTCAAAATTACCTGAACGCAAATAGTGGACTGATTGTTTTCTAAGATCTGTGCGTACTGTGTGAAAGGTCATTCTTGGTTAAAAATTAGTATGACTTTTGTTCTACTTTTTGACTGACTCAAGGGAGAAAGCAATTAATAATGGTAGGAGTGTCCCAGTGGTCTCCTATACAGCCTACTTGACTGAATAAAACGTCCAGTCTTTGTTTGTACGGCACCATTATTGAGTGCTCCTTCGTAGTACAAGCTACGGGAGTTTGTTTATAGGTTGGCATTGGTACTATCTTGGAACAGATATGAATGTGAGCGATGCAAAACAACATGATGATAGCCCCTATACCCTTATATACTGTACAGACTGCCGTTTTAATGAACTTGCTATTGTTAAGAGTTAGAAAGTGTCTGACGATTCAGTCATTTATCCTGCCCAAGTTATCTCGAAGATATGAGGTACCTTAGAGACCTCGCATTTCCTTCCTAATGCAGCATAGTTTGAAAATTTAAGGTTCTAGGTTGACTAGTCCCTGCATACTACACACAGACTTCCTATCATGCTATTCATACTTTGAAAAGCCACCTAACCGAGGTTCAACCGTTGCTTCTTGATATAGTAGAACTTGTAAAGGGTACTCACAAGCATTTTGGAACGGTTATGAGCGTAGTGAAAAGAATCGGAATGTTCCTTGCAAGCGTATTTTTCCTGAGTTTTACAAAAGGAAAGCGGATATATCATTAGGCCATGAGGGCTTTTTGAGTTTTAATGATATAAAAATTATTATCCAAACACATATCAATAAAATTTATTCTAAAGTAACAATGTTATAGAATCGAAGCCAGTTTACTTACAAGATAAATTAATTACCAATGCTAACAGAATTATTGTTATGGGTTTATCACTTAGATTGATATTATTGATAAATTGGCTTACCTTAAGTGAAACATCGTTTTTTGAGAACAAATTATCATTATTATTGTCAAGAAAGGCTGATATTTTCAACATAAAATTACAAAACGTGTTTGAAATACTGGAACGTACAATAGAATACTTACTTACTTACGCCTGTTACCTCAAGTGTAGTACAGGCCGCCGACAGTTTTCTCCAACCAACCTGTCTTGGGCTTCCCTCTCCAGTTCTTTCCAATTTTTGTTCATCCCTCTCATATCTTTCTCTGTTTCTGGGCGTAATGTGTTCCTTGGCCTTCCTCTTATCCTTTTATCGTGAGGTTTCCATGTAAGGGATGGTCTTGTGACGCAGTTAGGTGCTTTTCGTAATGTGTCCTATCCACTTCCACCGCTTCTTCCTGATTTCCTCCTCCACTGGAATCCGGTTTGTTCTATCCCACAGTACGTTGTTGCCGATGGTGTCTGGCCAACGAATCCGAAGTATTTTTCGAAGACAACTGTTCATAAATACTTGTATCTTCTGGATGATGCCTTTCGTAGTTCTCCAAGTTTCCACTCCATACAGTAGAACTGTCTTCACATTTGTATTCAAAATCCTTATTTTGGTTTTGGTTGAAAATTTGTTTGGAGTTCCAGATGTTTTTCAACTGTAGAAATGCAGCCCTTGCTTTGCCAATCCGCACCCTCACCTCTGCATCGGACCCACCTTCGTTGTCGATGATGCCGCCAAGATATGTAAAGGTGGCATCTCCATCAAGAGTGATTTGGTTGATGCATGTTGTGTCGCATCGGAGAATTTTGCTTTTTCCTTTATATACGTTGAGACCTACTGCTGCAGAGGCTGCTGCTACACTGGTCGTCTTCTCTTGCATTTGTTGTTGCGTGTGTGCTAGAAGAGCTAGGTCATCTGCGAAGTCCAGATCGTCCAGCTGCGTCCTAAGTGTCCAGTTGATACCGTGCTTCCCTCCAGATGTTGACGTCTTCATAATCCAGTCGATCATCAGGAGAAAGAGAAAAGGTGAGAGTAAGCAACCTTGACTGACACCAGTCGTCACCTCGAAAGAGTCTATTAGCTGTCCCTCGTGTACGATTTCGCAGTTGAATCCATCATAAGAATTCCGTATGATGTTAACTATTTTCCTTGGCACACCGTAGTTTCGAAGAAGCCTCCACAGTGTTTTCCTATACACGCTATCGAATGCTTTCTCATAATCGATTAAGTTGATGTAGAGTGGTGAGTTTCATTTAATTGATTGTTCCACAATGATTCGTAATGTGGCAATTCGGTCAGTACACGATCGATCCTTACGAAATCCAGCCTGTTGACCTCGAAGTTGGACGTCTACAAAGTCCTTTATTCTGTTTAACAATACTCTGTTGAAGACTTTGCGTGGTATTAAAAGAAGAGTGATGCCTCTTTGGTTCTCACACTTGCTGAGATCGCCTTTCTTTGGTATTTTGATGAGGTATCCTTCTTCCCAATCTGATGGTACTTGTTCCTCATCCCAAATCTTCTTGAAGAGATTGTGAAATATTTTCACAGTTGCTGCTACATCTACTTTCATTGCCTCTGCTGGAATGTTGTCTGGTCATGCTGACTTGCCGCTCTTGATTTGTCTGATGGCCATACTGATCTCCTCAATCGTAGGTGCGCCAATATTTATTGGGAGGTCCTTGGATGCTGCTTCGATGTTGCGTGTGTTCAGTAAAGCTGGTCGATTCAAGAGTTTCTTAAAGTGCTCTACCCACCTATTTCACTGTACTTCAGTGTTGCTGATTACTTTGCCTTCCTTGCTTTTCACTGGTCGTTCTGGTTTACGATAGTTTCCGGCCAGCTTCTATGTTGTTTCGTACAATTGTCTCATGTTTCCGTCTCCTGCAGCCTTTTCCGCACTCATTGCTAGATCCTCCACATATTTCCGCTTGTCGGCTCTGATGCTCTGATGCAGCTTGTGCCTTAACTTTCTCTGCTCGTGTTCGACTGACATTGATTGCTGCCTTCTTGTTCCTCCTTTCTTCAGTTTTTGAAAGAGTACCAACAGAGATCCATTCCTTGTGATAGTACTTCTTGCGTGTTACGTCCAAGTTTGCTCCTTCCTTTTTTGAAATACGGTATGTCGATCTATTTGCAATTCACGAACCCAAATCAATGACCATACGAAACTCCAAAGTAGGTGCCAAAGTTTATTCTTAATTCACAAATAATTCAAAACAGTGGTTCCCTTTTGATAAATTTGAATAATAATAATAATAATAATAATAATAATTTATTCTCAAATAACTAAGTTACAAGAGACACGCCAGTTTACAGGCTAGATCAAATTGTCACAAATGCTTTTACAATTACTGTAAAAGTTATAGCAGTTAAATTAAGTATAAGAGACAGTTTCTGATTGCATATTTACACCATATCACTGACAGAATCAGTATTATACAGCCACATTTTCAATATTAGAGTACAAATGAGGAAGGTGCACAATAGGTTCTATTGGCGATTGGCCGAGATCAATAGTGAATTTGTTGGGAAAGGTCATATGGAACGCGCTTGATACGAGCTGTGATCCAGACAGTCATGTACATTGGGTGCATGTTCCCTAGAGTTGCCAAGGATTTCCCACCGTGAATGGGGTTCTGGAAAGGAGAAGAGAGAGAGGAAAAGGCAGCAGTGTGGCAAGTGTATATATATAACCAAAGCACTACTTAACCTGTCATGTTGAAGTAGTCAATACAGTAGTAAGTCAAGATGAAATTCATACTGACCACTTAAATTAAAGTAAATTATGGGAATATAAGAATATAACACACAGATAAAGGAGTACAGCAAAAAGAAGGGAGAGTTGTGCAGTGTCAGGTGGATAGAAGAGAAGTCGAAGTAAGAAGCTGGATTTATGTACGTTGAAATGGAAATTCTAGTTAAAAGAGTAGAGTTTGTAAAAATAAATACAAAACTTACTATGACACTCAGCCACTTGTTGGTCCTCCTTGAGTTACAGATGGGTTTAAACACTTGTCTTGTAGTTTGAAAGTTCCTTTGGCAGACCTTACCAGGTAAGGATATTAAGTCTCTTGTTGTAGATGGATTTTATACCGTAGCAGTTCACTTTGTTTCCATTAGGTGCAGGTTGGCACTCGACGACCCGGATCCAATAGTAAAATCACAATAACTCTGGGAGAAATCGGTCTATTTTTATTATAAAGTGGAAATACAAACATTTACCCAACAATTGTTACACCTTCCAAGTCCAAATTACCCTGGTGGGTATCCGCTTCTGGAAGAATAAGTGATTCCAGTCCAAATGGCTACACTATCAAATCCAAAATGGCTGTGGCCATATTAAATATCAAATATAAACAGCATGCGTACAGTTCAGAAGCAAACATAAAAACGTCAATATAAGTACGAAATATAGAAATAATAACGATATACAATGATAAAATCTCAAAATGGAATCAAATAGAGTACCAAATGTCAACAGAAAGAGTCAGTCATATCATAACACAAATATATATACATGGGGGGATTTTCCAAAAACAAAACATTCAAAAAAGATTCTACACCGGCCCGCAAAATCCCTCCATGCGAAAGACAAGCGCTTTCTGACACTTCAATTTAGGGTTCACTCTCATCCCCTTATCCACACCGGAAGAACGAATAGGACTTACAGCAGTACGCCTACCCGCCCTCCAACATGGACATGACCTATCAAGCTAACTAGGTACCTGTACCTTCCCATCAGGCCCTTGATTCCCCTATCTATCGTAGCATGACCTAACGGTA